CCTCTTTCCATTGTATTAATTTTAAATGACCTTCATAAAGACGCAAACCAATCAACTAAAACAGATTAAATTGATTTTTAAAAATTTTAAAAATACCCCGCTTTCGTGCACACAACTAATTATTCCGGTCTCTGCAGGCCTCCCAACTTTATCGGCAACATGTCCATATGCCCTTGTTTTAGGTGTACCATCTGGCTCAAAACCAAGAATAGCAAGATGATATTTTGCAGTTAAAACGAGTAAACTATCCAATTTCTAAAAATAAAAGGGATCAAAAAATATTTTTAAATTTTTTTAATTACCTCACCAGGAAGACGATATAAATTCATTGAAGCAATCCGGCCAAAGATCGGTATTTCTTTGTGTGGTTTAAGACCTTCAGATGTGACTAACAAATGTTCTATTCGGTTAACACGAGCCTGTAATTTGTAATATTATTCGAAGTATACAAATATTTGAACTTACCAACATAATGTCCAGCTCATTTGAATTGCGGAAATTTCCAACAACAGCAAATTGAACTGAAAATTAAGAGTAACGTTACAAGGTTTGAAGCAATTTAAAACAATCCCAACTTACCCACTGTCGGCTTCTGTAAAGATACAACATAACTACAACCGTCTTTATCCATTTTATAATTATCTAAAAAATATAAATTAGAGAATGTTAACTAATCTAGGCAGAAAAATTTTTCTGAACAAAACTAGTGAAATCGGAATTGATGAAAACACAAACTTAATGATTGAAAAATTCATTTTGGTTAAATATTCATCCAAATTACCAAAAAAATAAACAACAAAATCAACAAACTGTTACTCATTTTTATAATATTATAAAACATTAAAAATGGCTTTATCAAAGAAAATCCATCAACAAAATATAGTGGAATTTATTAAAATTATTTTCGTGTTTTGAATCAATAACATAGAGCATTTCCCCGTTTAAATCCGTCATCATATTTTCATTCTTACAATTATTTCACGTCAAAATTTGTTGAAGCACCGCGTTCTGATGGCTGTTCAGATGGAGTGAAGTAAGAATTTGGTTGAAGAGTTGTTCATTCATTTGAATATGTTTCATAATAGATTTCTTAAAAATATAGAATATTTTTTTATTTTAAATAAAGAATATATTAAAATTTTCAGACCATTCTGGCCTTTGTATTTTCCAATAATTCTGATGATTCACCATCAAAAGCTCCATGAGAGAAAGTATGCAGAATAATCTTCAAAATGTAAATTTTATTTTACACAACATCAGAAAATTTAAATACCTGAAAAATTCGTGATGGATCTCCTTGAAGTGCAGGATGTTGTGACTCAACTAAATCACAAAAATAGTCATAGACGTATGGAACTTCTTCATGATCATTCCAAACAGGTAACCAACTAACGAAACGAGGCACAAATTCATGAACATTTAATCCGGCTGAATTGTATTTTAATATTTTGGCAATAGCGCTGATCGAATTTTCTGTTGCCGCCGAACTTTCTGCAACGTTTTAGGTTAAAGAATACAACAACAAAATAAAAAATACCTTCTGTACTACGAGCATCAGATCTTTCAATCGATACAATTAATGGCTGGATAAGTTGAGTACAATGCTTCTCATATGCCTAATAAAAAAATTAATCAAATATGGCACGAGAAAAAACCTGGCCGCCTTTTAATGCCATTATTCCACAACCATAAGCAGCAGCTTGACGTACCTTAAAAAATAAAATTATTAATAATTCTGGGATAAAATAAAACTTCAGAATGTTTCTCACTCAATGCATTAACTAATGGCTGCAAGAAAAGATGTTGATATTGTAAACTTGACTAAAAATAAAAATTTTGCAATAAAAATAAATTAAAAAGTAAAATCCATACAGGGCCACCAAACTCAATCAAATCATCGAAAATACAAATTGCCCATTGTCTATCCTGATAAGGCCTTCGAGGATCCAAAAGTGATGCAAAATGAATCGCCATTTTATCAAAAAATGGAACATTTGCTTCTTTTTTTGTCTAAAAATAATAAGGAAATAAATGTAAATAAAATCAAACCATAAATAAATAATGATTAATATCAGCCAAACGGGCCCTAAAAATTGTATTCAATTTTTTATAATATTAAAATCAGTTAAACTTACAACATATTAGATTCAGCTTCGAAAACTTCATTTAAGGATTCTTGTTCATCTTCATCATCAATATCTTCATCATCCTTGCGCTAGAATTAAACAAATTACTTCAAAATAATATTAAAAAAACATCTGCTTCTCTTTCTATACGCCTCTTTGTAAGATATTCCAATCGAAAGAGAACAAGTTCATAAATTTGTTCAATGTCTTGAGCAGTAATAATTGAAGTTTCGCCAAAATGTTCAACACATTCGGCAATACCATTAAGTATTTCACAAATAACTTCGTTTTCATTTTCTTTTTTATTGGCATCTCTACAAAAAAATATTTTTATTATTCAGCCTTTCAATAATTACTTGTAAGCATTAAAGACAGTCTCCCATGAGCGTCGTAAATATTCCTCGCCATATATTCTCGAGCTAATCAATAAGAAAGGAAGGCATTCTGCTGCCGCTGAATAAAAAAGATGATTATTTGATATTATTTATTCCAAAAATTAACCCTGTCTCACGCCTTCATGAAAAACAAATCTGAGCAATTGTATCATCATCCCCATAACACGTTCAGCATAAGGTGCAAAACCTTCTTTGAGTTCACGTGCAAAACAAACAATCATTTCACAAGCAGTAACTTTATCTTCCAATCCAGCTGTTCGAATACCTAATGAGCGATTAGCACCTGAAAACATTTAAAAGGAGTTTTTTACCAATAGGAAAAAAATTTATTACCAATAGGAAGATAATTCCATTCTTCATTATCTTCTTCATCTCCTTCTCCATCCACAATAGTTACTTCAGGTTTAAAATCAGCGGCCAAAAGAACGGAAGGCATAATTAAGTCCAAATATTTAGCAAAACTTTAATTTTACATATTTTAAAAGAAATAAAAAATCAAAAAGAGTTACCCAGGTCCAAGAACTTTACAAATTCTTGCCCAAGCACTTATAAAATAACTGAAAGAGAAAATAAGACAAAACAATTATTTATTTAAAAAACCTAATTTGTGGGTCATCATTTGCTTCAAAATTAACACCAGATGTAAGAAGAAATTGCCTTAAAAATATTTTCTTAAAAAATAAAAACAACAAACATTATTTGGTCAGCATCGGCTCCAAATAAATCCTTTCCAACTGCAAGTCCAATTAAAGATATACATTCAATTGTTCTACCACGCAACATTTTACAATTGTCGCCCTTTGAGTTCTCAAAAACTAAAAAGAAAAGTCAAGAATAAAAATTTAAAATAAAATAACTGTATTTTAGAGGAGGCATTAGCTCATTGTAAAATGCAGCAAAATGATCTTTAAAATAAATTGTCTTTAAAATAATTCACAAATTTTACCTTGTGCTGCATCAGCAATTGAAGCAATCGTTGTGATTATCTTAACAAAATATTAACTTAAAAAATAATATTGGTTAAAAAGAGACCTGCTCTAAAACCAATTTTTTCCCAGTTGTTAACATTTGTTGAAGAGTCTGTTGAAGAACTGTTTGAATTTTAACCATCAACTAGAAATTTAATTAAAATTATTATAATAAATTATATAAAAACCGATTGAAGATAAATATTAATGATAGCCTTTGGGCATTCTTCACAAAAATTAACCATTGCTGCAGCAGCGTGTGCAGCAACACGTGGAGTGTTTAAATCGGACATTGCAGTCAAAAGAGCCTATATAAAGATTTAATTGCAAATAAAAATAAATATCAAAAAAACTCACTGGTACAATCGTTTCATGACATTTTTTCTGAATAGTCGGTTCAAAATCTGTACACATTTGACCTATCGCATTGCATGCAGCATACCGTACACGAGGATGTGGATCGTTCATTTTTGGAATGAGCATTTGATTTGTAATGTCATGTATAAGTGGTTCCATTTGTTTTTTGCAACCCTAAAAATATTAATAAAAATTTATAATTAATTAAATTTTACTTCGCCAATTGTTGACAATGCACAAAGACCGGCATGTCGATATTTCCAATTTTCTTTGAAAAAAGAATTCAATGAAAAAAATAGAAATTTAAACCATTTCCAAGCAATTCATTAATACATTGCAACGCATGTGTCATTACAGCCTTTCCACCAAGAGAACAAGAAATTCGGTCAAGGGAAGTCTCACCAATTCCAGCAGTTCTAAAAAAGTGTGTTATTTAAAATTACTTTAAAAAACACAAACTCCTCATCCAAATCCTCATTAGCGTCATCTATTGCCATCCATTCGTTTAAATCGTCATCGAGCTCTTAAGGAATTAAATAAAATCAACATTTTATAAAATAAAATTAAACCTGTCATTAAATGAAGACATTGCTGGACTAAAAAAATCACAAATTAATTTAAAAAATCTTAAAAAATATTACTAAGCGCAGGCAGATAATTTGCTCCTTTTTTCTTCATAAAATTACCGCTTTCACACATAGAAACCATTACCTCCAAACTACCTAAAAACAAAAAAATATCATTAAACAAAATTTAAATAAATATTTACTATGTCTATACGATTCATCTTTTTCTTGATTAGCAACAATGCTTGAACACAAAGCAAAAATACTCGCAAAATGAGGAATTAAAATTTTGGGCAATGAAGCAGCCAAATCGCTAAGGCATTGAAGAGGAACATCTGCAGAAAGAAAAAATTATGAACGATAAGCATAAAAACCAACCATCATCATCTTCAGTCTCAACAACATGTTGACAAACTTTAACAACAGCAGGAATAAGGTCAGAAAGTGCTTTGACTACATTTGTATCCTCATCATTGTCACAAACAAAGGCAACATAAGCCCTAACAGCAGCTGTTCGAACAGAGCTATTGGCTCCAAACAAAAGAGAAGCATGGAACATTTTCTAAATAATTTATGAAAAGTCATAAATTATAGAGAAACCTTTATGTCATTAATATATTTGATAGAGTCAGAGCCAAAAATGTTTGGAACATTCCTTTAAAAATAATAATCAAGGAAAAAAGCAAAAAATTTACTCAATCAAAGACATTCCAGTCTCACGGAACGATGGATCTTCCGAAGTAGCACATAATTCAAGAAATTGCATTACGCCTGTCCAACATTGTTTTCCTGTATTTTCGTCTAAAAAACGGAGAGTAATGAAAAACTTCAAAAAATAAACCAATCGTATTTCTCGCCAGTTCTGCCAAAATATCGGTTAAACGTTTTTTTAAAACTGGTTGTTGTTCTGCACTAAGATAACGAATAAATTCAGAGTGAAAATGGTCCTTCTGGATTTGTGAATCACGAAAAAATTCCTCATAAGAGGAAGCAACAAGACGGCGTAGAAGCACAAGAGCCATAGAACGAGACTTAAAAAGTTGCATAAAGGTTTTTAATAATTAAATTTATAACCTCAATGTCGTAATTCACATTTGAATAATGGCCAAAAAGAAGTGGTCCTTTGTCCTTGAGCGCTATCTTTTCATATTCCTTCTCGGCGACTTCTGTAATAAAATATAGTGGGACTAAAGAAGCTTAAACTTAATAATTTTGTCTAGTAACTTTGCTATTTAATTTTTAACTCGAAATGTAGGAACTCATAATTGTCTAAACTAGCTGACATGAGCTCTCCAGCTAGCTACGTGGCTAACAATAAATATAGCGCCCGTCTAATAAAAACAGAAAATGGAGACTGTTCCAAAAGTATCCCGTGAAGCCTCAACAAAAGTAACAAACCTCTTATTTCATTCTCAGAGCTCATCATCCCAACTAATAATTGAGCAAAATCAACAGTTCCCGCAGCCATTATTAGATTAAGTAATCAAAATCAGCGCTTAAAATTGTCAAAATTGAAAATGTCAAATTAAAATAATTATTTCCGAATTAACGATACAAATAAAAATGTAATGAAAATCAATTATTTTTACCATAAAAGAAAAGTCTAATTTAGATAATAACTAGGTGACCAAAATTTCGGAATTTTAATAGTTATTTTTGCTTTTAGCGAGATTTTAATTAAAACAAATGCCGAAAAGTGCAAAAATATAAAATTCCTGTGAATATTGATCAACTAATTTTTTGTAAAATGCCAAAAAATATCAAATATAGGAATGTGTAAAAAAATGCCCACAAATAATACTTTGACTAGAGGATTAAAAAAACTGTTAAAAATGAGAATTTAAAGCAAATTTTGTTTAGGAATGGTTTGGTAAAATAAAAGTTAATCCAAAAAAATATTTTTTTTTGAAAAAATGATCAAGAGAAATTTAAAAATCCTTTTGAAAAATTAATTTGGATTAACTTGGTTGGAATGTTCAATTGCGGCAAGTAAATTACAGAAAAATAAAAACACCGAATGAACAAAAAAAGAATAAACTTTTAAAAAGGAGAAGTTTAAAAAATTGTAAAAAAATTAAAGCGCCAAAAGGTCGGGAAAGAGAATTAAAAAAAGGAATGTTACTTCGACATTATACACACAAAAAACATTGCCATTCACTCATTTTGTTATGAGTTTAGAAGTGCGCTTGTTAGCAGAATCGACGCGGCTTTCGTTGGACAAAGCCTGCAAATAGTTTTTTTAAAGTTAGGCAATTAACAAAAATAAATAACCTTTTCTTGAATTCGAGACAATTGACGGTTTTGGTTAGAAACTTCAGTGGACATATCTACAAAAATATTTATTTTCATTTAAGAATTAAATATACCAATTGCCATATTACGCAAATTTCCAACCATAGTAGAAACTTGTTGAATATTTTCATCCATCTCATCTTCACGTGCATCATTTGTAATTCTAAAAAAGAAACGTTTCATAGGCAACTAATTGACTTATTTTAATTTAATTTGTAAAAAAAAATAAAGAAAAAATTTGAAGACATTATTCTGTCCTTATTACAAGAAAAAGAACGTCTGACAATTACGAGACCGGAAAAGATTCAGAAGATACCGATAAGTACCAATAAATCAAACCTCGTAATATATCCTCCTTGTGGCCCCATTCCTGCGTCGCCAACCGTTATACGCGGTTGATCACTAATTACTCCACCATCATCGTCCTTCTTCCAAGTTTTTGCATATTCCGAATTTTTTTCAAAATCATTTCCTCTAAAAAATAAATTAAAATTCTAATAATTTAAAAATACTTTAGACAAGGAAGAACACAAAGACCGCAACATTTTTCCATTCCTTTTAAATGTTCTTCAGCTTCTTTCATATCTTGATTTATTGTATCCAAATTTTGTTCAACACGTTCCAATTGTTCTAAAGGAAAATCAGAATTTTATTAAAAAGAAGAAAAAACCTCCTTGGTCATCCAACATAACAAGAGTTTTAATTCCTGCTTCTTTGCTCTAAAAAATTAATATACACAAAATCGAAATTCCAACAAACTTCTTCACAATATGCCAACATTCGACGAGTACTTTCCAAAGACTAAAAATAATTAAAAAATATTTATTTTAAAGAAGATTACTTCATCCGCAGTGTTATTTATCCGTAGGTTAATATCATCCAAAGATTCGGGAATCTCTGCAGCGGCTTTCTTTGACATTATGAATATACAAAAGGCTCTTGAACGGCGTCAAAGAAGAATAAAAACACCTAAACTAATAAGACTTTTACAATAAAAATGAATTTAATTTATTTATTGGAAATGGAAATACATTACAAAAAAGGTCTCCCATTCAAAATATTGGTGACCTTCGATAGAAAAAGAACACTTTTGATATTGGGGAAATCCAATTGTGCCCCAAACACAATGGAATATGGAAAAATGAAAAAAATTATTTATTAAAGACCGTTCCAAACTAAAGACAAAATGTCAAACGACAAAATGCCATTTGGATAAAGAAATGTAGACAGAATATATTCCTTAACGGCACTTATAGAAATTTTATTCGGAATTACATTTTTTCTTCATGGCATTTTTAAAAATCAACTTTGATAACATTTTTGTGCTTGGCATTTTGTAGGCCAGGCAGATTTTCCTGTCACCAATGTCTCTCTCTCATTTTGACGAGAGGCTACTTTGTTGCAGACATAAATTTTTGCCTCTTACATAATAATTTCCAGCTTTGACAGAGTTTTTTTTCCAACAATATTTCTTTTTTCTACTGTCTAATATCACATTAATGAAAAAATATTTTGTAAAAATTCAAAAGGGTAATCTACGTTAATTCTTAAAATAAGGTAACCTCAAAAGGGCACCGCACATAAGGGTACACTCTGTGATGCTCCTTTATAGTATAATTAGGTTTTTTGGCACATTTTCTAAAGTTTGACATATATTATTCTTATAATTAAATAATTTATTAATTTAAATCAACTAGTCAATTAAATTATTGCGCATTTTGCGTCATTTTTACCGATTTTTTCACGCAAATTTACACACAATTTCCTTCCAAAACAAGTTTTCCCTCCGGTTTTTGAATTAAATAAAAACATTTGTTAACTAATCTGAGAAATATCGTTTGACTAAAATAAAAAAAAATTTTTTTATCTGAAAAATGAAAACCCGCGCATCTTTCTATATAAAATTATAAAAAGAAAATCACCGCCTTTGGTCAACGGAGGGAGACATATACATATTTTTTTATTAATCTTCCGTAAATGGACATTGGCAATGATTTTCTCTCCTATATTTTTGTAGGGAAAGGGAAACTTGTTTTCATTCACTCCCCCCTTTTCACTCTCTCCTTTTTGATCGAAACAGAAAAATTTGGCAGATATGTATATAATAAAATATTTAATCCTTTATTTTGTTAATCAAAAAATGAGCGTTTGGAACAACAAAAAATAATTTTTAAATTGGATTTTCTCTCTCATTTTTTAGCCAACCTTAAGCATTTCTAGCTTATTAGCCTCAATCTTTTTCTTTAGATTTTCCAGTTCCTCGAAGATGTGTTTACTAGGGAGTGTCGACCTAAAAACGGTCGAGACCGGGCTCATTCGATAGAGAATGTGCCCTTTTTACCAAGGATTTTAAGCCGTTTTTGCCCTTTTTTTGAACTGGCCAAGATATGGCCCTCCAACGTCCCAACCTCGCAACCTTCCCTAGTTAGTTTAATTTAATTTTTTCAATTAAAATTTTTACTACAATTAAATCAACTCATGATAGCCAAACTTGTCTTATAAACCCTTTTTATTATTTCCTTTAATCCATACTCTACATAATAACAAAAAATCATTGTCAATACTTTTAATTTATCCAAAATCATTTTCTATCATCAGCAACAGCTACTTTTATTTTTAAATTTTCTCTTTTATTTTCTCATTTCTTCAAAATTTTTTTCCTAATTTTATCGCCATTTTCTCTTTCCATTTTCTTACTTAAAATTACCAAAATCATTTTGGTTAATGCTGTCTCCACATCCGGCATCTCCTTTCCATTTGCCGCCTTCCATACCTTAAACAAACTCCAATGTAAAGCTGCTTGTTCTCTCTCTCTCTCTTCAATTTCCTTTACATTGAAAAAATAAATTTTTAGAAAAGGATTTTGACTGACTTTGCGCACCTAGTAAGTAGTATGTAGTTTATTCATGAGACACTAAAAATAAAGCGCCGATGATTATGTTCCATTTTTCTATTCTTCTCTTTGATTTTTCTCTATAAAACAAGCTAAACATTGTTACTTTTTAAGGAAGAAACTTTATCGGATATTTTCATTGATCATTTATTGATTTTTGATTTATCATTGAATTGAGATATAAATTTAAAAGGATGGATTTAGTATCTTTTTTTCTTTGAAGATTTTTCTTTAGGGGTTTTTATTTGTTCAATGGGAAAACCTAAATTTTACAATGGGAAAACCTAAACCGAAAAACCTAAATTTTCGGTTTCGGTTAACTGAAGAATTTGGTGAAACTGACAATCCTAGTCCTGATACGTTTTTTCAATTTGTTTCTAGAAATGGATTATTTTGAGTAAATGCAGTTCTTACTTCTGGAAACGTACACGAATACCGAAAAGTTTTATTAAAGTTACTTACAAAAAAATTTATTTACAAAATTTTTCAATTTTTCTCTTTTACTTAGGATGCGGAAATGGCGAAATATTAGTCTAGAATCATTATTAATTCCAAAATCAAAAGACAGATTTCGCCTTTCTTTTTTTCCTTTTTTCCCTTTAATTTTCTTCTTTTTTATTATTTTAATTCCAATTTCCCAACAACAAACAGAAAATTGGGATCAACAAAGAAGGTTAATAGAAGGAAGTAGAACAACAACTTCTAATAATAATTTAGAAGATAATGGAGATCTCTTTATTTTACTTGATGAAATTAGTGTTTTTAGTTGTAGAGGAATTAAAAATGAAATTAAATTAACTGAAGAGGTGTTTTCTAATTCTTTAATTTGGAGATTATTAGTAGTAGTCTCTCCTACCTTTTCCATTTGCGTTAAAATTTATTTTTTCCTTTAATTTTTCCTGACATATTAAAATTATTGTTTAATCAACGTTCCCCTGGAGAAAGTTCCCCGTCCTTCAAATATTACCGTAAATGCTCTAATAGAAGCCCACCCCCCGGTAAATTCATATACCTATTTTAATTCTCTTTTTGTTTAAAATAATTTCTTTTAATTGGATTGGAAAGTAATATTTTTGGGAAAAAATTAAAAATAATTTAAATATATTAATTAACTTTTATTAAGGATGTTCAAATTGTAAATGAAAAAGGCAATAAAGTTTATTATATTAAAGCACCTGGAAATTATTCTTTACATTTTAAAAATATTAATGTTTTAAATAATTTGGTTAGAAATTTTATTTTAAATTTTAAAAATATTAATTAAAAATTTACAGGCATATTTGAGCGGGGAAATAGGCGTTACTTTACAGGCAAGAAAAAAATAATGTAATTAATTGTTAATTAATTTTTAAAGGTTCCAATATTGGAAGGGCCTGCTGGTTTGTTTATTTTATATTTCCCTTTCAAAAAATAAAATAAAGGTATTCGTTTTGATGTACCTTATACAATGATCCCAGAAACTGGCCTTCTAGATCAACATTGTGATGAAGCTAGTGGTATTGTACAAAGAGAGAAGAGACAATATTGGTGCTCTTTTTAAGAATTAATTTTTAAATTTATTCCAATTTAATCCTTCTTAGGGAGTAGAGTAATAGTTTGGTTCAGACCTCCCTCCCCTTTTTTTAATTTAATTTGTGGCATATGTTCTCTTTTCCAAGTTACATCGCCCAAATTTTAACGGGCCTAAACAAATAAAATTCAAAATAATTTTTTAAAGTCGTTATTGCGAATTATGTACACTTGCTGATAAAATAGAGCAAGGTTTAACTAATGGAGAACATCAATTTCTACCAATATTGGCTTCTGGCCAAGAACAACCATTTGCCCCGAAATGCTCAAAAATTGGGGCAAAAAGTTATGAATTTAAAAGAACAATTAATTTGCCTGGAAGATTTGATTTAGAACAAAAAGTTAAACAGAAAATGAGTGGAGTAGATGCTGAAATTAGAAAAAGATTGAATAAAGGGGTAAAAATTGAAATTTTTTTAAATTTTAAATAAACACACTTAGTCACCCCTTACAAAGGAGAGAGGCTGTGGGGTGTTGTGGGACTTCGGGATGAAATTTGGTAGACAGATACATAGATCTTGTCAAATGGGAATAAAGATTAATTAAAGTCACTTAGGCATATACCACACACACACACACATTTTAAAGCTTAGCTCTCCTCTTCTAATTTATTTTTATTTAGAGAGGTCGTTTCCAAGTATTTTTAAATTTAATCAGTGCTGATGCCCCTCCAATCACTATGACGGTAATTAAAGTATTTTTAAAAAAATATTTAAAAATAATTTAAAAAAGGATTGGTTTGATGGTTCAGAACAGTGTCGTTGTTGTGGACGTGAAAAAGATCCAAAATGTCGAGGGGTTCTTTCCTTTCTTTATTGTAATGTGGAAGATTGCAAAGTTTGGGAAATTAATTTTAAAAATTAAAAAAAAATTAAATTAAAGTCAGCCTATGCCCAACAATGTTTACATAATTCAGCACGTATAGTTGCCTGTTATACAGTTGAATTTAATTATAGAATGACTACAAGGAGAGAAGAAGTCCAACAATTCTTACGGTAATTCTTGTAAAAAAGGAGTAAAAAAATCTTTTTTTTTAATTAAGAGAAAATAATTATCCAGATCAGGATTTAACAACTTCTTTGGCTGCCGATGAGTTAATTTAAATAGAAAAATATTTTTTAATTATTTAAATTTAAAGATTAACTTCCGAAATTCCAAATCAAAATATTAAAGAAGAAAATAATAATCAAAGATTCAATCATCAACACCAAACTTCAGCACCTAAAAGATTAGTTTATGGAGATGAACAAAGAGCTAGACAACCAAAAGAATTAAGCATTAAATGTGTAAGAAAAGAGATTTTTGTTTTAATTATTTTTAAATTAAATTACCGATAAAGAGGAAAAGTTTTGAGAAAAATTACTTCATTCCCAATTTATTTTCAATTTAAAAAATTATTTTTAGGTTTCCCAAATGGCAACTCGTCTTACACATTTACGTAGATATTGCAATATTTTTTGGAACGAGAAACTTTGTTGCTCACATTGTCCTGGCATTTGTTGAAAAAAATTAAAATAATATTGATATAATTTAAATTTTTTTTTTGTACAAAAGTATTTTTTTTGTATTTTTAAAAATTATTTAATAAAAATTAAAACTCTGAGGACAAGCTAGTAAAAAATCGGCAAAAATAACAGTTCTGCATTGACTTCAGATTGAAAATTCTGTTGAGAGAGAGAGAGAGAGACGAATTAAAAGCTTTAGAAGATTAAAGAATTTTAGATCAAATTAAATGTATTGTTGCCTACAGCCTAACTAACAAATTTAAACTAAATAGAATACATGATCTAGATTTTAGTAGAATCCTTAGAAAATTCGATCAAGATTAGAACTGCGCAGAAATTAAAGAATTAAGACGGAATGAGAACTTAGGATAGAGAAAAAGTCAAGTAGATAAAGGAGATCCAGCAACAACAGCTTTTATACTATTAGATTCAAGCCTGCTTTTCTCCCTTCGAAGCATTCCAATTTTTAGTATAAAAGCAGTAGTAAATCTTAGCTCAATTAACAACACACACAATCAACTTCTCAACCGTTCACGACAACAGCTTCAACTTCACAAGTCAATGGCACAATCTGCGTACTTCGGTGGCGGTGGTGCAGCTGGTGGAGGCGGCGGTGGTGCATCTGTCTACATGGGATCTGGAGCCGGCGGTCCCCCGAAGCAACCTGCAGCTGGAGGCGGCGGTTATGGAGCTGCTGGTGGAGGTAATGCGTCTGTCTACATGGGTGGTCCTGCTGGTGGAGGCGGAGGAGCCGGTCAACAGAGTGCCTACTTTGGTGGACCTGCTTCGGGAGGAGGTAAATAATTATTAATCCTAATACAATAATAGATAATTTATTTTTATTTAAGCTTCTGCTGTTGGTAGGTCTGCGGGTGGAGGAAGTGCTTTCGGAGGCGGCGGTGGAACCCAAACGGCTATGGTTGGAGGCGGCGGTGGCACTCAGACTGCAATGGGAGGATTTGGTGGCGGCACTCAGACAGCTCTCGGAGGGATGGGCGGCACCCAGACTGCGCTCGGCGGCATGGGAGGCACTCAAACTGCTCTCGGAGGGATGGGCGGCACCCAGACAGCTCTCGGCGGGATGGGCGGCACTCAGACAGCTCTTGGCGGAATGGGCGGCACTCAGACAGCTCTCGGCGGGATGGGTGGAACCCAAACGGCGCTTGTTGGCTATGGCGGTGGAGGCACCCAAACGGCTCTTGGCGGAATGGGAGGTACTCAAACTGCTCTTGGAGGCTTTGGTACGCAGACTGCTCTTGGTGGTGCTCCTCCTGCTGGAACGGCAACTGCTCTCGTTGGTGGAGGTGGTGGAACGCAGACTGCAATGGGAGGAGGATATGGAGGTACGGCAACATGTTTGGGGAACGCTCCTGCGGCAGGTAAAAAATATTATCTTTGTCATTTTAGCCATTGATTTTAATGTTTTAATTATAGGTACAATGACTGCTCTTGGTGGAGGAGGCGGCGGGACGATGACAGCTCTTGGAGGCTTGAAACCTGCTGCTGGTGGAGCTTCTCTTGCTGGTTCAAGTGAGTTAAAACTTAAATCTTAAACCATCATTAATTGAGCTTTTATTTTCATTTAAAGATGTTGGCGCTTCTTCGGCATATATGGGAGGTCCTCAAACCGGTGGTGGCGTTGGTGCGCAGTCTGCCTACTTTGGCGCTGGTGGAGGAGGTGGCGGCGGTGGAGCACGTCCGCCTGCTGGTGGCGCTGCTGCGGGATCTGTCTACATGGGCGGTGCAGCTACCGGTGGAGGAGGCGGCGGTTTCCAGAGCGTCTACATGGGAGGGAAGTGATGTGCAGCCGAGGACAAAAGATGGAGAAGAACAGAAGAAGCGTTGTTTGACTAGATAATCCCTTTTCCCTTCCAATCCCCCATATATAATTGTGTGTTTTTTGTATTACGCTAATATATATAGGCTATTATCCCATTTGTTGTTGTGGCTCATTAATATAATCCAAATGTGCCCAAATATGTCGTATAATTTCCTATTGTTCATATTGTATGTTGTATATTGCTATTTGTATTGGATATATAAATAAATATAAAAATGTGTTTGTTGATTTTTGTGTATAGTATTGAGCTCTTATTTAGGCTTTTGAGATTTGACCTTTCATTAGTTTTCATTAACTACAAATTTGTACCCAATACCATTTTAATGTTTGCCTGGCTTAAAATTTCTTGTCATCTATTAAGTGTTTGTTTGAAGATTATTCGTAGCCTGCTTTTAACTTAGCCTTGGGTTCTCAACTCAAAATCTGCTTTAAAAGTAAATTCACTCAAACAAACTAAAAATTATCAGAACTTAAAAGAAGTTATTATCATTAATCCAAAAAATTAACTAAAAATTCCCATATACATATTAATAATTTAAACTAACATGGGCAAGTCTAATTAAACGGGGAGATTTTAGAGCTTAAAGTAAAAGGAACAAAAATAAATTACATATTTATGTTTAATTTATCAAAAAATAATCAAAATGCAAAAATCTTTAAAAATTAAATCAAACTTTTTTAAAATAAAATTTGAAGTCTGAAAACTTTTTTCTATCTTCTCCTTCGGCGCATAAATACTTCTGATGCCGAAACTTTAGAAAAAGTATTTTTAACATTTAAAATTAAAAAAACATACTAGGTGCTGAATGAGAGAGTGGAGCTAATACAGGATCTGATGATACTGGGTGGTGTGGACCTTTTACCTTTAAAAGAAGTATTTTTTTAAAATAAAAGAAATTGGGGAGAGAAAGTGGAATGAAGGCACTTTAAATTTGTAAATTTAAACCTCAGCTCCTTTGCCGATAAGAAGGCCGGTAGTGCTAATTGAATACAAAATTTGTGGTTTTACATTATTATTTCCAACGAAAATAATAAAAAATAAAATTAAATTTAGAAATAATCGAAAAATAAAATTGGTATTAATTATTTTCATAGTATCTATTTAAAAGAAAAGAAAATTATTTGTAACTAAATAATAATTATTTTAAATCGGAAAGTACACCATTTCAACCCCTAATTTTCCAATTCGATTTAATCAAAATTGGTGTTTAGAAAAGGGACTGGTTAAATATTTAATTTAACAGGCAAAGAAAATTTTATTTGGAACAGGCTAGCTGGGAATCTCTTTTGAGAGTTTCCTCATTGATTCCCTTCAGAGAGGAATTTTAAAAATTAATTAAAATTCAAGTTTTTAATTCACATTTTTTCAAAGAAAAATATTTAAAAAATGAAAGTGTTATTTATTTTCGCTTCTTTACAAAAATTTTGCGATAATAAAAATAAAAAAAAGTGAACACCTCTTTATTTAATTTTGATCAATCACTTTTCTCGGCAATCCCGGAGAATTGGGGTCCCTGCGAAAAAAAAGTTTAAAAATAAGAAAAATGATTTTTCCAGGGTAAAAAAATATGCTGATTACGAATCCGAGCTCGGATTTTGAAAAAGTCGAATCCCGAACCCGAATTTGGACTTTTGATCCCGAACAGGATTTTTGACTCCTAACATATCAGACATTGTACAAAATGGCCAGTCTTTCAATAGAATCATAGAACTCATCGAGCTGCATCAAATGACACCAAAATCAATGAAATCCGACCGGATTGAACCGAGATACAGACCCCTAAATATTGAAAAACCAAAGGGGTGATTTTTTGGAGTAAAAAAAAGTTTTTACAAATGATAGCTCATTCGAAAGAGCTCGTCGAGCTGAATCGAATGACGCCAAAATTACAGTGATTGATCAAGTTTTGACAAAGTTATGACATAAGTCGCTGACTCCTACAGTACTCTCATAGGTATACTTTATGTCATAACTTCGTCTAAACTTTTCAAATCACGTTGATTTTGGTGTCATTCGATGCAGCTCGACGAGCTCTTTCGAACGAGCTATCATTTGCATATTCGAAATTCGGGTTCAGGGTTCGAAATTTGGTTCGGGTTCGGGATTCGACTTTTTCAAAATCTGAGCTCGGATTCATAATCAGCATATTTTTTCATCCTAGAAAAATCCTTTTTCTAATTTTTAAACTTTTTTTTCGCAGGGACCCCAATTCTCCGGGATTGCCCTTTTCTCTCTCCCTTTATTTTTAAATTTAACCTTCCCAAAATAATTAATTAATCAATTAAAAAATATTTTTTTTTATTTTGTTTGAATTTTTTGAAGTAAACAAGGCGAAAACAAAGAATAAATTTAATTAAAAAAAACAAGTATTAATTAATTTAAAAATAAACAAACACCCCTTTTCTTTCAATTTTTTTGTTTAAACACATTTTAATCAAATAAAAATTAATTAAAATAGAGAACAATTGTTTTTAGATTTTATAACAAAAAAATATGAAAAAGAAAATTAATTTTAAATTAAAAATATTCTGATTTTAAATTCTGATTTTGGTATTACTCCGTTATCTCTAACTACTTTTTGAGGACTCTTTTGTTTTACAGAAACAAGAATAAGAAATTAACTTTTCTTTATTTTAATGTCTTTCATTTGAATATGCCACAAAGGAATATAGTAATCAAATTGAGGAAGGAAATTTATCCGTAAAATATGAATTCTAAAATTCTGGACAATCAAGAAAAGTGTAAGGAAGAAAAAGATCCAGCTGGCTTGCATTTAAAACGCTCACTAGGCGGGCATGAGGTCGCAGGATCCTCGCGATTAAACTTTTACCTCGCTCTTACTAAAGATAAAAAATGGAATACTTAATTTTGTTGATTTCCTAAATAATTTATTAAAAACATTAATTTCTTTATTTTAAAATTAATTTAAAAAACAACTGAATATTTACTTTTGTTTTATAAAAAATTATTTTCTAAAATATTATTATCAATTTTTTATTTTATCGTTCTTTACTTTGTCCACGTGAATGTACATCTCCTCCCTTTCCAGAACGGCTAATTTTCTTTTCTTTGGAACGTTTTGGAGGAGGAGAACCAATACCCACAGGATGGCTTTCATAAAGACGTCGATAATTGTCAGAACGAATATAATTCCAAAAAGCTTCAACTCTTTAAGAAAAAGATTTTTTTTAATTCTCGAATTGAAAATTGGTTTTACATAAATTCAGACTTTTATTTAATTTTTAAATTTATTTTTTAGTCACCTTATTTATGTATTAACTGCCAAAAAATATTTTTTTCTAAAAAAAACTTACCCACTAAACCAATCTCCATTCTGTGCCCCACGCATCAAAACTTCTTTTAAAGGCAAAATCCATCTTTAAAAAATAAATAAACTTCAAAAACTTTTTAAATTCAAACGGATTATTTTCAACACGAAGAGTTTTAGCATTTTCATCATTTGGGTCAATTAAATCTAAAGCCCCCAATTCTGGAGGAATTACTTGAAGGCGATTACCCTAAAAAAGAAAATTGTTTTCAAATAAAAGAATTTTCTTTTGCCTGAATATGTAATTCTTTTAATTTATTACAAGCACCTAATTGACGAGGTAAATCTATTATATCATTCTCTCGAAGAACCAAAATTTGGAGATTTGTCTTTAAAAAATAAAAATATTTTTTTTTATTTATTTATTTTCACCAAATGTCCAACATCTTCAGGAAACCCTTCAAAATCATTATCCCCCAAATAAAGTGCTCGCAATGTTGGCATAAAAAAGAAATTTCCTGGAAGGCTATGCTCGTTTAAATTATTCTAAAAAATTTTTTTGAAAATATTTTTTTAAATATCCCAACATAAGTAAGATCAAGAATTTCCAATTTTTGAAAAGAACCAAATCCGCGAGGCAATTTATTTAATCTATTCATTCTAAAAAAGAATAAAATATTTAAATAAATTTGTAATTTTTGATATTTTCTCAAAGTTTTGACGAAAAATTCAAAAAATAAATCAGCAATGTTAAATGCTTGATTTGGGTTTTCTAGGGGCAAGCTACATTTACAATGGATCCGTGTATAGTACATATTAGTGTTATTCACGGTACCGTATTACCGCGGTATTTTTCGGTAATACCGCGGTATTTTTACCGAAATACCGATACCGAAAAATCGCGTTTGAATAACACTAGTACATATTATGTGCCAAGTGTCTTGTGTCCTATATTTTATTTTCATTATTAACAGCACATTTGACACTCAATCAGGATGCCATTTTTTAAGACATATTTTCCCTTACTTACCCAACATTTAAAAGCTTTAAATTTGGAAGTGCCGAAATTGTAGCAGGTAATTCCTCAATGTGATTATTCCATAAATTTAAACTTTCCAAACTTGTTAAATCCGAACTGTCCAAAAATTAATTTTTATTTAAAAATATTTTTTATTATTTTACATATTTGATGGGAGAAGAGTTATTTTGTTGTGGCTCAAAGTTAAATTTGTCAATCGACTATTCTCATCTACAAAAAAACTTTTTCCTCCAAAATTTCCAAAAAAACATACAATTTAAATGTAATTGTCCAAAATTGCTAATTCCTTTATCTACATAACTCATTTCTGTGCCTTCTTCCGGTGGGGCCGAATGGTGATGTTCTTTACGTTGATTTTTATCATTTCGACGCATTTTTGTTTAAAAAATTATTTTTTATTAAAAATGCTGCAACGGCCAAAATAAAGAGGGAATTGATTTGCTTTACCTAGCTCATTTGATATATAACTAAAAACTAGAGCCAATCTAAAACAAAAAGAAAAAGTGTAAAGCTTTAGAAAGAAATAAAGGTTTTGTTTTTAACCATTAAAAATGTAACAAAAATTGATTTTATAAAAGAATTTTATTTTTAAAATGAATATTTTCTTAAAAATAAAAAAAATATTTAGGTGACTAATTTACGTATTTTTGTTTCTAAAACAGCCAAATAATTATCTAACATTGTAACTGCCTGATCCATTCTTTTGCTTGCTTCGTCTAGAATTTTTATTTAAAAATTAAATTAAAATTATTTAAAAACCAATTTCATTTATTTGATCCAAAAAAGGCTTCAAATCCTCATATTTTTGTTGAAGCTGGGCAATGCGACCCCCAACAGTTTCTGCTACGTGTTGCATATCTAAATTTGGAGTTTAAGAAAATCACAGATAAATTCGAGATTATAGGAACTAATGTTGGAATAAACCATAATATGGCAGTTACTATTGTTTCAACTCTAATTGAGAGAATTATTTTATTCACATCACACAGGAAATCACATTATTCCAACATTAGTTAATATAATCTCGAATTTATGAGATTTTTGACGCCTTAATGGTAGATAAATTATAATTATTTTAAATTAATCAGGGCTTTAACGAACAACAACGAAGAAACCGAACAAAATTGAAAGACCGAAGCGATAAGGGAAAAAAACTAAATTAATTCCAACCTTTATATCGCTGCGCCGTTACATCATTCATTTGTTCCAATAATTTATAATCATCAATACTTGACTGTATCTGTCCCTGTATATATTCATTTACTCTACAAAATAAATTCTAAAATATTTTTTTTTCAAATAATTTTCCAAACTTGTTAGAGCATTGTTTAGCCAATCGCTTTATTTCATCATCTTTTCCATCATCTGCACTTGTACAAGCCGGGGGAGATAGAGGACAATCAATGCTTATTGCTCTCTCATTTATTTCCATTTTTAGCTTTTTAATTGTGTAAAAATAATTTAATTTATAAAAAATATTTTCAAATTAGGAAAAAAAACATTTAATAAAAAATTCAAAAAATAATTTAAAGTTTATCAGAAAATTAAATGATAAACAAAATGCTGAATTAAAAAAATTTAAAAAGAATTTCCCTTGAACAAAATTTGAGCAAATAAACATTTATTTTTTAATATATAATTTATAAATTAGCAAACAATAAATTGATCAATAGAATTTAAATTTTTATTTTCGAGAAAAACTAAAAGACTTATAAAAATTTATTTTAAAATTGACAAATTGATCAATTCATAAAAACAATTCATGGGAGTTTTTAAAAAAGGAAAAGTTTATTCAATTTGATAAAGAATATATTTAGAAAAATAATCCATTGCTATAAAATGTGCCAATAAAAATCCACTCAAGTAAGGTCCTTTCTTATTTGCTGGAAATTTATTTTCAAGTAACGAATTGGCAGAAATGCAGCCATCGAGAGCGTTGAACAAAATGTTGAAATCCTCAGTGCTACAGAGAAAATTTAAATTTAGTTATTATTTACTTTAAACAAATAATCTTTGGAAATTTTTAAAACGGTTTAATTAACTCCAAAAGGGGGCATTCTATCTATTGATACGTGAGGCGCATCAGAATCCGTTCCATTTTTAATTGTAAATAGAAATATTTATTTATCTCACTATAAACTAATAAATTCAAAACAAGTCAGAAAAAAAATTTTGCTGTGGGGGTGAATCAGGGCCCGCCATGAGTGATTCCCAACTGAATATTTGCCCAGTCCTTTTTAAACTTAATCCCAAACAAATTAGAATCTTAGTTTGCAATAAAAAATTACCGAGGAATAATTTCCTTTCCAAGAGCCAATTGATCGATTATTCTCACCAAACGTCGATAAGTACGTCGGTAAAGATTCGGAATTGCTTCTTTTTTGTTATTTTTGATAAATTTTCGCAAATTGTCTCTGTCACCTTTTGCTATAATTTTTGTAATTGCTTTTCTACCATGTAAAACAAAGGCAAGACCAGCAGCTGATAAACGACATTCATTTTCTGTGTTTTTAGGCAATAAATCAAATGTAGATAATGTAACAGTTTGAGCACTAAAAAATAAAACTTTAGAATTTTGTGCAATAAAATTAATTTACCTCGTAAATTTGTGTGTAGAATCTTCATAATCATACGATCCTGGCCCAAGGCGAATATGGCAGGCAGGATTGTCTAGACTAAAAAATAATTTTTATAACAAATGAAGAATTATTTGCCTTTTCATGCGAAATGTCCCCTCAGCATTACCATAAGCATGACCAACAATTGCAGCAGCAAAAACTGTTGATAAAGTAAAATTCTTTTCAGGTACACCCAAAATAGTAATAGAGCCGGATTTGTTATCGAAAGGCCTATGTAAAATGGGAATTAGTTTAAAAAAAGGAGAAAATTAACCTAAATATTTTTTCAATATGTTTATCTACATTTTCATTATTATTTTCTTGGAGATCAGCGTTGTTTATCATTTGCTCCTTCTGAGAATTTTCTGATAACTGTTAAATAATTTTTGATTAAATTGAGAAAATAAAAGAAAATATTTTGGATCAAATGCCCAATTATACACAATAAAATATAGAAACAAAAAATAAACATTAATAAAAATGTACGACAATATTTAAAATTAAATTAAAAGTTAGTAAGAGAGTTTGGTTACAATCATAAATGGCAGTGATTTAAAATATATTATGAATGCAAAAAATGATTAAATAACTTTTTAATAAAATATAACCTTTAAATTATATAATTTATTTCACACCCAAAAGGTAATAGTAATTTTAAGGGCCATAAAAATGACAAAAAATATAAAAATAGCAATAAAATCGTAAACGTGTCAATCACACATAAAATTGTGATCAATTTTCCAAAATTTATGTGCTTGAAAAAAGACATAAAAAAACTTTTATGTCAGAAAATATCGATGACATAAACTAAAAATGTAGAGCTTCGCATATAATTATCGCGTCCGCAATTATCACATTCCTTCCGTAATTTTCTCATTTTTGGCTGTCTCAGAAACTTAAATTGGCTCTAACAATAACACGTATTCATTCACCCCCTTACCCTCTCCCCCCTTTTTTCTTCTTTTATTTGATATAATCTTTGATACAAATACTTAAAAACTTACCAATGATTTATTGTCGTCCGCCAGCTCAAAAGTTTGTTGTTTATTGTTAGTATTAATTGAAGAAGATGGTGGAGATAAAGAAGAAGAACAGCTCTCAAACCCAGTACTATTTGATGATGAATGTGAAGAGAGGCGGGTATCTTTAATGGACGAGGAGTCTACTCCACTGCTAGTGTCCTCTCTTTTAATCGCTGTTGGATTTTTACAAAAATTGTTGTTTTCCTTCTCTGCAATATTCTCATCAATTTTTTTGACTACTTTGACTTTTTCTTCCTTATTTCCATTACAAACATTTTCTTTAACATTTTCATTCAAAGTCGAGTGGTTTTCAATTTTTGACGTTTTATGCTTATTTTTATTAGACTTAGAATTTTCACAAGAATTTTCTCGTGATGATGGAAGGGAACACAATGGGCGTCCATACCCTGCTTTTTCGTAGTTTGGTCGCTCCTGTGAAGTTATTAAATTGAGATCAATATGTTGCCTAAAAGTAAAATTTAATAAAAAAATTTTAATAATCAAGACTCACGAATAGCTTATTAGTTTGGATGCAAGATTTACAGCAGCGTCATATGTTCGCGCAATAGCAAAATCTTGAGCAGTGGAAATGTAATCGACCTCCTAAAAAATAAAAATTCCAATTTCATTTAGATTAAAAAACAATTACTTTTACTCCAACCATTTGTTTAATATAAACTTCTTTTCCAACCCAAGCCTTCGGAAAAAATAATCTTTAAAAACAATTTAAATTTAAAAAATAAATGTAAAATATACGTTGGTTTAACTAATTTAATACATTCAATACGATATCTTGTTTCGTCATATCTTTTAATTGGTCTAATAATTAAACGAGGCAAACGCAGTGAGGAAGAGGCTCTTACAAGTAAATCGTTGAAACAAACAGAAGAAAAATCAAAATTACAAAATATAAATCCATCAGATTGATCCTTTTAAAATTAAAAAAATGTGAGGAGTCTTTGATTAATTTTTGTAAAAAGTAATTACAGAAAATATTCAGAGAAATTTCTAGGTAATTCCCCTTATTTACTGAGGCTTTAACAGTCACGGTAAATTATTATTATTTATTATTATGAAAAACCAGGAAAGTTTCACTAAAATTTATCTTCAATCATTCGTCAAGGATAAAAATTGAAATTTTTCTTAAAAATTAAATTTTTATTTTTATAAATTTATACCATTCTAAGGGAATTGCAAAGTGTATCGAATGCAGGCAAATACAATTCATTATACCATTTAAGAGTTTTTTCAAGTTGAACACCCAATTGCTGCGAAAAGTCCTCGGCATATGAAGTAAAATTTTTGTTTATAGGTTCAGGTCTAAAAGCAAGCATTTTCTTATGAATTTGTTGCAAACAACCGATTAATTCTTTCCTAAAAATGAAATAAAATATTAAAATCCGTAATCATTAGATTGCTTTTTGTAACCTATCGTAAAAAAATTTAAACCCTTATTCTCATGGGGCGAATAGAAATCCAATTTAGTAAAGGAAAAACCGTTTAAAAAATCTCTCACGAATTTCCAAAGTGAACTAACTCCCAATAACAAATTGAAAAAATTTAAACACAAGCCTACTTACTTTTCAGGTGTTGGATATTCAAGCTCGAGTCCCCAACGAAAAGCATCAACAACTTCAATAAAATATTCATAAATCTTCCGAAAGTCTCTAAACAAATTTGCTTCAGTTTTTTTAACACTAAGCTTTCCATTGTCATAGCGAGCATAAAATCGTTTAAGCAACAATCTCTTCCCAAACTTTGCATAAGCTAATCCAGCATTAGAAAGCGGTTGCACATAACGTTCCATATTGCACATATTCTCCAATGTAAGACATCTAGGAATTTTAACCATTTTTTAATTTAAACAAAATAAACTTTGAAGTATCCGTAAAACGCATTTTGTCCAAGTCACAATGTTCCCCAGCTCCGATAGTTATGTCAAAAGGTGCTATCGTTGAGCAATTTTTAATACTGAAATTATTCGGAATTATTAAAATAGAAACAAAAAAGAGCGGCTTACTCTTTGATCACATAATGTCTATAATCGTCAATACTCTTAATAATATACAAAGCCAGAGCTTCAGAAACCCCAAAATTATCAGGATTAATGCCGATTGAAGGAGGCATTAAAAAATTAAGAAATACAAACTATCCAGTAATAAGAATAAATATTTATAAAAACAATCCTATTAAAAGCTTCTAAAATTAATTAGTCCTCTAGTTTAAAAATATAAATTGTAAAATAACTATGAATTAAATATAGATGTATTTGATAAAGTTTTATCGATTATTTATATAAATCAGAGTAAAAGGAGGAACTCATCTTTCATACAATTTATTTGGTATAGATTTAATAAATTTTTAAGTAGGATAATTTTAAAACAAAATTTAATTTATACGTATCAAAGATAAGTCCATCAAAAAAGGATATCGTCGCGTTTTTACTTCGTTTATTTTCAGAATATACACATTAAGTCGCTGGAATTTTTGGAAGTCCAAATTCGTCAACAGGGACACCATGATCGGTAACAGCCTTAAATAAACCAATAAACAAAATAAACGCCTAAAATATTTTCATACCGTCGGAGCTCCAGGAACTTTAGTTGGAACACTTGGCGCAGAAATGGCCTCATCCAAGTAGCTAGTGTCTCCATCAGCTATCAGTTCATCTCCCAAAGCTTCGAGTTCGGCTTCAAGATCTGCCTCATCAATCTTTATTTATAAAGTAAAGCTGAAAAACATTAAAAAAAACATACATCAGGAGTGTCATATTGTCTTGAGAGGGCATCCTGAACTTCATTATTCATTTCAAGCATTTCTTCCATATCATCTTGAAGATTTTCAATTTTGTCAATATTGAGTTTCTTTTGTTCTTTCTTCATTGCTACGAGTCCAGATTGCATTGCCGCAACAGTAACCTAAAATGAGTAAAAATAAAATTTAGTCGAGTCAAAAATTTATTTTCATGTCTACAAGATAAATAATTAGATAAAATTTGTAGATGTTTCTATTTAACAACCTGATTGTCCTTCATTGATTGAATAGCAAAGTTGCTCTGTTCCATATTAAAAGATTGTGTCGATAATTGATCACGCTGGTTCTCATAAGTCCTCTTCTGCTTCATTATCCTTTAATAAATAAAGGAATAATATTTTTAAAAAATATTAACCTCAATGCCTTTTGTTTGACAAGATTTTTTGATGGCCCTTCTCGCATTTTTTTCATTTGATCACGCAATTTAACAAGTTCACCGTCTAGTTGTGCAATCTTTTTGTCCAATGACTCACCACGTGCATCAATAGTTGTTATAGCATCGGTCAAATTCGGAGGAGGTGCCTTTGGCTTTGATGAACCAAAAATTCTATTCATTTGTAAAAACCTAAATTGAGCCAAAAATAAGCAAAAAAATAATTTCTGTTTATATTTTAAGTAAATGGTAAGGGACTTTGAAGGTAAGTGGATTAAATATTCTCTTGTACCAAATATCAACAATAACTATCTAAGCTTTTTCTAACTGCCCAATATCATTGATTTTAAGTCTTGAATCAAGATACTTATTTGACTTTCCGGTCTTGGTAAATAATTGTTCAATAATTTATTAAAGGAACTTGAAAGTGCCAGGACTCGAATGTTTTTGACATTTTATCCAAAAAATTTCCGGAAAGGGCGATTTGAGCGCGGCCCGTTGAGCGCCTGACAACATTGATCGGGTATAACTTTTTTTTTGTTTGATCGAACGATTAACTTGATCCATCTAAGTTGGATTAAAAATATCGCTTATCTATACCGCTTTCTTATACAGCTTTCGAATGATATAAAATTCATTCCTATTTGATCAGGCATCAAAATGTTATAGCCGATCAAAGTTGGCTGGCCTCATCAGGTCGCTCTCAACTGACCGCAACCCAAAATTTCACGATAGGCTTTTTGAGTATTAATTAAAGTTTCACTTGAATCAGTTTTTTCTTAAAAATTGTTAAGTATTAAGGATTTTTCTAATTTTTTTCTTCTAAAAATTTCAATCAAACACGTATTCAACGTAAAATTTCTCATGCTTAAATTTTCGAAAGTAACATTTTGACATTCGAACTTTCGCGTGAAATGCTTGTGTAAAATTTTTGATTTTTTCTTTATCAGTTAATTTTTCTTTTTTATTTTCGTTATATTTGACTGTCCAATGAATTCTATTACGAATAATTATACGTCGCTTATGGCGGACACTTTTAGTGCTTTAGAAGTTTGGCAGAAACTTAGAGCTCACCAGCCAAGAAATATCGATCACGGTAATACTATTTATTGATTTTTTATATAGCATTTAATTTAAAGGTATTACTGATCTGATTGACCTCTTGGATTGGATCCATAAAGAATGGCGTCATTCTGTTAATGATAATGCTCGATTGAGTAATCTTAATGAAAGGCTTAATAGACAAATTGGGTATATTTTTTGAATTAATTTTATACAAAGTTATCAAAAATTTGATTAATGTAAAGTTTTTGAAAAATGACAGTCCAGCCTCACAATCAATATCAAAAGAACTACCCTAACAATTAAAAACCGATAATCAAAATTATTTTGTTTATTTAAAATTAAGAAATTTCGAGTTAGAATTGGATCAAGCAAGAGCGAATAATGGAGCATTAGTTTCTCAACTGGCTTCTGCTAATACAAAAATTGGATCACTCGAGGAAGAGCTTTTGCAATATAAAGAACGATTTAAAATTGCTCGTGCTGAAATTCAGGTTGATTCAATCAAATAATACCTAATGCAAAATTCTTATTTTTAGAATGCTGCTTTTACATTTCCTATGGACACACCTAATGATGCTAGACATGGTAAGCGTCGGTCCAATTCTCTTGGATTTATGCCTGGAAAGAGATCTAAACATTTGGATGATTTGGGCCGTGTAAGGGAAGACGATGAGGATGAGAACGACCCTGCACCTTTACAAAAACCTCTGATGCGGACGTTGAATAGATCTATTTCTGATTCACATATTATGGCTGAAGAAAAGGTTTTTAAAGTTTTAATATCTCCCCTTTCGTTTAAACATCATTGTAAATTCGAGGATCGGTAGAGGGATAGTTTTAATTAACAGATAATTTTTTTGTTTTGGCTGGGTCCTGTTATATTTTTGTTGTTAGATTTATGTTTTTTATTTCTAAATAGAAGGATGTTGCTCAACTTAAAAATCAACAAAGTTCTACAAAATGTACAACGACAACTACTACAAGTACTATGGATATGTAATTTGAAACTTTCGTTTTTAAGTAATATCTAAATTTAAGACGTTCAAGTCCAATGGCTGGTTTTTGCCCAGGATGGACTAAAGGAAGAACTTTAGACCAGTGCACGCACAATTTTGTTCCAACGAACAATTTGTTTAGCGCTGCTTTTTCATATTGTGGTGTTTGTGCTCGAAGTTTGGGAATACGGAGTTTGAAGTGTAATGGTTAGTAAATTAATTACAAAACAAATTAAGTAAATAATTATTTGGGTTTCGCGATAAAATTATTTTTCGGGGGAAGTAAATTTAATTTTTTAAAAGATTGTAAGCTTCAAATCCACGAGAATTGCCGCAATAATTCTCCACTTCCGTGTGTTCCAATGATACCAACACCTCAACGTAATAATCCAAAACAACGTCCGCGTCTTGCTGATCTCTGTCCAGATTCTCAGCCACAAATTCCTGGACAAATAATTCGTTGTGTTTTTGCAATAGAGAAGAATTATATTAACAATGTTGGTCTCTATCGTGTTCCTGGATGTGACAGCGAAGTGAAAAAGCTCAAGGAAGCTTTTAATTCAAAATATGCACCAAAATTGGAACAACTTGATCCAGAGACGATTACCGGGTTTATTAAAAAATTTCTGCGAGATCTTCGAGTAAGTTTTTTTGGTTTAAATTTGTTAAATTAAAAATTTTAAGGAACCAATAATTCCTCTTTCGTCGTTCACAGAATTTTATGCAGCGGTTAGTAATAAAAATGAAGCACAGCTGCGAACAGCTATAGAAGAGTAAATATTCTAAAAGATTTTTTTGATTGTCAACATTTTTAGTTTGCCAGTTCCAAACCGTCACACTTTGGCCTTTTTATGTGCTCATTGGCAAAAAGTTGCTCAACATTCTAACGAGAATCAGGCATACCTTTAAACAGTCTATATTAGGTAAAAAATGTTTAATTGTTTTTAGATGCCGCTTGAGAATTTGGCTAAAGTTTTGGGACCTACAGTTGTTGGAACAGCATCAAAATTGACACATTTGCAGCAACAAGCTGGTGGTACTGATTGTCATTCTCATCATTATATGGAAGCAAGCAAACAAGTGGAAATTTTATATGCTCTTCTAACACTTGACAATGTACATTTTTTTGTTAATTTTTATGAGTTTAATAGGCAGGTAAATTGTTGAGTTTAAGTAGACAATGTTCAGGTTATCGAATCAGATTTTAGATCAGATTTTTATATCAGACAAATGTTAAAACAAATCTTTTTTTTCGGCTTTTCTAATTTTCTTATTTTTCAGAATTACTGGACAGCTTTTTACAATTGGCAACCAGGCAATCAAGTAATGCTTCAGAACAATCAAGGTTATCTTGGAAGTAGTAATACTCCACAAGGGACTTGCGCTACAATAAAACGACGTCCGCCAATTAATCAACGTTATGGCGAGTCTGTTAATGAACCTCATCGGCAAATGTATTGAATGGATTTAGAAGTGCCGAAGTAAATATGTAAAGAAGAAAAACAATATTTTTGTCAAAATGTCCAAATTTTAAATGACATTTTGAAGTTTACCTCAATTAACTTTGTAACTTATATTCTCTAACCTTAAGCATTTTAAGCCCAACGCTATTTTAACTTAAAGACTTGCATTTTTGGATAAATTTGTTTCTAATTTGTTTGTTTTCTATACATTTTTTGTAAGGGAAAGTCGACCCCTGTTATTATTTTTTATGATTAATTCTATAAAGGCGCGGGACAAAAGAGGCGAGACCGAAAAGGCGCAACACAAAGACGGCACACGGGTAAAACGGCGCAAACCGGCGGATCGAGTCACTCTTTCCTTTGCGCAGTTATGGGTTTGCGCCGTTTTGGCCATGCGCCTTTTTGTTGTTTTTGTCCTCTACAGTCTTGTAAATCTCAATCTCGGCTTTTCTGACGCAACTACAAATCTTGATTTAAGCTTTGGAGCTAATTATTGTTTGTTTTTTATTTGTAGAATAAGTTATAATGGAATCTGAGGTACCTGTTGTTTCTACAACATCTTCAGGCAATTTAATGGATTCAAAAATTGAAGTGGAAAATGCTGATGCGAATAATCTTGTTGATGAAGGTGATAATAATGCAAATTCTAATAAACAAATGACTCATGATGATATATCCAATAAAACTGAGGCAAGCGAAGAGAATGATGGAGTTCAACTTATTGAAGGACTGACAAAGCCTTCATCTGCTTTGGAAAAAGTTGATTTTGTTCGAGTAAGTAATCGCTGTTTTTAACTATTTTTATCTTTCTCATAGGATTCGCGTAATCGCGTAAAACTTTATGTTCTTTGTGATCAACGTGCTTGGGATGATCGAGGTACAGGGCATGTTGCATGCCTTCCTTCGCCAGAAAGCAATAATACTTGGTGCATTGTTGTTCGATTGGAGTCTAATGGTTTGTTTATTTAATTTTATAATTCTAACAAGTTTTGGTTTAAGAACGCAATGTATTGGAATCAAAAATTTTACAAGAAACTACTTATCAAAAACAGCAAGGCACTTTAATCGTTTGGTCGGAGACAGAGTCGGTGGATTTGGCATTGAGTTTTCAGGAGAAAGCTGGTTGTACAGAATTATGGGAAAAAATCTGTAAAATACAAGGCAGAGACCCCGATGCTGAAACTGAACTGGTTTTATATTTTTAGTACCCAAATTATCTTTACATCATAAAAATTAAGGAAGATAACGAATGTGATGATCAGGATGTTCCAAGCGACAGCAGGTATTCTTTTATATATTTTCTAAGTTTATTTTTGTTTTTTAGCACTTCTGTTGTTTCTAATGCTACAGGAGTTCCGCCATGCAATTTACAAAATCTTGGCGAACTTGAGCAAGCTCTTTCAAATTCAATGTTTGCTAATAGTCAACGTGAGAAAATGGCCAATGCAATTCTTCAGAACAGGTTTGTTCTTTTTATTTTTTAGTTTGGAAATAGGTAAGTTTACAATAATTACCTATTTATTGTAAATCTTTTGTATGTATTTTTGTTGCATGGTGAATGAATTTTTGTAAAATACAAGGCGAAAAAGGCCCTTTGATTTTAAACCGACATTGAATTTAATTTATAGAACTTACCTTTTTTAGTTATATACCAAAGCTTTGTGAAATGTTTTCTATCAGTGAGGATTTGGAAAATAAAGAAGCTCTTCAACAAATGGCTTCTATCGCAAAGAATCTCTTTCTTCTTAATAATAATGCTGTTTTGAATGAACTTGTTGAAGACAAATATTTTAAGTTTGTAGATTTTTCATTTAATAAATTTAGATTTAATTTTTTACTTTTTTCAAATAACAAATTAAACATTTACAGAAATATAGTCGGAATGTTAGAATATGATGTTTCATCATCAGAACCCAAAATGCACAGGAACTTTCTTTGGGAGCGTTCTCGTTTTAGGGAAGTTTTGCCAATCAGTTCTGAAGAGTTGAAATCAAAGATTCATCAAACTTTTCGGCTTCAATATGTCCAGGTATTTGTCTGCATGAGTTTAATATATGATCGTTTTTAAGGATGTTTGTCTTCCTGCGCCTTCTATATTTGAAGAAAATCTTTTGACTGTTTTGAGCAGTCATCTTTTCTTTATGCGTGCAGAGATTGTTAATTCTCTTTTGGTTTGAATGAATATTTTTTTAATTAAAAAACATTTCTTTAGAATGACAAGAACTTGATGCAAAAGCTCTTTGAAGGTCTTCGAAATCCAGACATCACCCCAGATACACAAAGAGATTTGACAAACTTTTTGAAGGAATTCTGTTCTTTTGCACACTCTCTTCAACCCACTGGTCCACAAGGAAGAGAACAGTTTTTCAAAGTATAAACTTTATATGATATATTGGCTTTATAAATTAAAGCTTAAAAGGATTAACAGAAAGAAAAATATTTGATAGTTAATTGAGGAAAATTTGAAAATTTATCTTGCACCATTTTTAATATTTTTATTTATTTTTTAGACTTTAATGGCCAACAACGTCCTCGAGATTATTGATCCTTGTATTAGTAGCCCATTAGCTTCAACACGAACAGCGACAGTAGAACTTCTATCAATAATTGTGGATTTCAATGCGCAAATATTTCGTGATTTTCTTGTTAGACAATTTAGAATTGTTCCTGAATCTAAAAATGTAATTTTTAATTTTTAAAGATTTATTCAATTAAATTCTACTTTTAGAGCTCTTTACTCATTAACAAATTGATCAATCATATGCTTAGCGATAAAGATCCCGAATTTACTTCAGCCCATCAAATAGCTAATGCAATTCGAATTTTGTTGGATCCAGAGAGTATTGTTTCGGTAATTTTTGTTTTCTTTTAAATTAGTAAAATTAATTTTTTAGAAAGGAGAAAAGGGTGAATTTTTACAAATGTTTTATAAACGAGCGATGAATACACTTTGCGCTCCAATACACGAAAATGCCAAAAATGGACATCCAATTTCTGGTAAATGATTTTTAAAATAATTTTTTAGCTTTAAAAATTACTTTTTAGATAGTTATTACATGGCAAATAAATTGACTCTTGTAATCGATTTGCTTTGCTTTTTTGTGGAACATCACAGTTATAACATGCGTACTTATGCCATACAAAGAGGAATGCTTCTTTCTATTCTTGTCTATTTAAAGAGCAAGCATCATTTTTTAGCACATTGTTTGTTAATTTTATGTTTTTAATTTAATTTTGATTTTAACTAAGGCGCTCTACGGTTACTTCGTCGAATTATTGGGTTAAAGGATGTAAGTTGTTAAAGCTAACGTTTCGTTGTAAAATTAAATTTTTCTTTTATAGGATATTTATTTTTGTCATATTTGTGATAAATCAATTTTGGACCCTGTTGTTGAATGCTTTGAAGCGAACGGATCACGCTACAATTTGCTCAACTCGTCTTTGATTGAATTATTCGAATATATTCGAACGGTTTTTTTGGCATTAAATTTTCAATTTTTTAAATTTATTTTTCAGGAAGAAATTCGTCCACTTATGCAATATGTAGTACAAAAACATTGGGAAACTACATTTAGTAAAGTTGAATATGTCCGGACTTTTTCTGTAATGAAAACTCGTTGTGCACAATTTGCTGATACTTTTTCGTTCGAACGTGATTCAGCTTCCAAAGAGAACACTGGCTTGGCTATGACACCTCCACCTAATTCACAGTGGAGAAAAGAACGTGAACACGATGATGAGGAGTTATTCTTTAGTAAAGAAGAGGAGGACGAAATGGTTTTTTATTCTTTTAAAATTTTATTAATTTTTAAAATTTTTCTAGCCAGCACCGCAATTACGTAAATCTGGTATGGAACCAATGTTTCCATCACTGGCCAACCGAAAACGCAAAGGTTAACTCATTATTTTAAATTCAATAAAAATATTTTTTAAAGCTCTTGATGATGAAGATAGCATTTCGTCTGTCTTTGGAGGCAATATTACACCTCCGGCTGGTTCAAACGTGCGAATATCAAAAATAATGATTCGAATGAATACGAAAGAAATTACTCCTACTCCTCGCCAATCTGTTGTTGTGCAACAACAGCTGCCTCAACAACAAGCAGTGGATTCTACGGTTGAACCAGATACAGACTTGGTAAAAAATTGATAAATAGGCTTTGATATTTTTTGATTTAAATTTTACTTTCCAATCTTTTAGCCGCCATTCGACGAGCCAAAACCTCATCAACAACAATCTACGGCCATATCAACTACAACTTCTCCAACAACAGATTCGTGCAGTACAGACAGTACAACCACAACAACTAGCTCTTCTTCACCACCTTCCTCAACTACACTCAAACGTCCCTTAGTTGATTATGATCTCAGTGACGACGATGATGATGACGGTGAAGGAAATGGAAAAGAATCAAAATTATCAAAATCTTTGTCTCGGTCTCAAACAAAAATAGTCGTTGGGGAAGAAAAACAGCCAAACAAAATACTCAAATTATCGACAGACGAAACGCCGGATTCGTCAAGAGATGCTTCATCTCCACCACCCGATCCAGAACAAAAAGGTAGTGATCGAATGGGTGGAGGGGGAAGAGGAGGTGGAAATGGACAACAACAAGATATTTCAACATCATCATAAAAGTGACAAAAATTTATTTTATGAATCTCTTTTTAAAAAATTTCCCCCTTTTGTCGATATTTATTTTAGTATAATGGATGGTTGTGAAAAAGTTTTCGGTATGTTTTTAAAAGAAATATACTACAAGAAAAAATTTTTAAAGGAAATATTCCCTTCCATTTTCTAAAATTTTTATTTCTCTTTTTTTTGTCTGTGTTTTTCCACTCATTTCTTTTGTCTAAGGAATATTCAACACAATATATTGTATTATTTTAAAATTGCTTCTATTTTCAAAAATACATGATTTTCCCGAATCTGTTAATTTTTTAATTTCTTTCTTGGATTAATAAATTAAATTTAATATTAAATAATAAATGGACATTAATATATAGTATTTAATTTTGAGCTGCCAATTATTTTATAACTACTCATACTCCTTTAATTATGTTACCTATAAAATTTGCTAATTAAAATTTTTAAGAATTTCCTTTTTGTTATATGTACATAAGTGAGCTACAGCTATTGTAAGCAACTCATTTTAGTGAACTCTTTTTTAAATTTAGTTGGCCATTGGGGTGACAATTTGTTTCACTCCCTTAAATTAGTTTAACCAATATTCCATCGGTGTTGAAATGTTAATTTTTTTTGATAATAAAAATTCTTTGTCTCTTTAACTTTTCTTTTCTTTAATTCGCCTTCCAACATTAGATTACAATAAAAATCAAAATGACTTAGAAATTTTATTTGGGAGGATTAAATATTTACATTTTTTAAATTAGAATTTATGAAATTAATTTATTTTAAAAAGTTTTTTTATGAATTTCCCTCATATTAAAGGCTTTTGCGTAGATATTGGAATTAGTGGGCCTTTAACGTTTCCCATTCTGCGTGCAATTGTTCCAATTAAAGGATAAATACCTAAATTGGAAGGAAAATTAAAAGAAATTTTGTTATTTTCTTTTTTCCTTACCATCAACACTATCTGTGCATTCCCCATTAAAATCATCATAATCTAAAGTCCAAACATAAGCCCCTCCATAACCATTTCCTTTAATCCAATCAATCTTTAAAATTTTTTTTTTATTTTTAAAGAATGTCTTCCTTTTTTACCTTTGCTTTAAAACTTTTAATATTATCATAACTAAACCATTGATCTTTTTGATAAATAAGAAAAGGTACTTTTGCATTTAAATCAAAAGCACGTTTAGTTGTTGGATCTGTTAACATTTCACAAAACTAAAAGAGAGAATTTTTTTAATAATTTTTTTCCCAAATTTACTTCATAATAAGCTCCAAGTCCTTCAGATTTTAAAAACGTTGTAGCGTTTGAAGGGCCAATAGCAGCACTTCCTACAGGTTTTCTTGACCCGTTTGGATTTGCTAAAGTCCATCCATGACCTATAAAACAATAATTTTTTTATTATTAAAAGTTTTTTTTTCTTTTACCATAAGTTGCTAGGCCTATTACAATTTTCTTTTTTGGCATTCCTTCAACAGCCCAATAATCAGCTGCCGAATCCTTAAATTAAAAATAAATAAATTTAATAAAATATTTTTTCTTACAATATTTAAATTGTCTTTAGTAAATAATGGAGAATTATAGCCTGTTACATTTTCTGTACTAACGTGGAAATCATATGTCATTAGATTGACAAATTCAACATAACTGTAAAAATTATATTTTATCAAAATTTATTATTAGTGAAACCTCTATTTAATGGGCACTTTTGGAAGGGGGAGGACAAGGAGGATTGCCGTTTTGCGTTTATTATTAAATAGGATTTTTTGCTAAATAGAAAGTTTTACTTTGATATTTATCTAGAAGGGGTGATTAGACTAGAACATAAAGTGTATGAGAAGGTTTACAGTTGGTTAGTTCGATATAAGGGATTCGGAGTTGCCAAGGACTAGTTACTGTGGAGTTACCTCCCATAGTCTCAAACTTCGGCCTTTTAAAATAAAAGTCCTAAAGGATAATTTGTAAAATATAAATTACAAACTTTGATATATTTGCAATATCATATGACTGTTTTGCAGTTTCAATTCCAGCTGAAACAGCTGCTGTTATAATAAGTCTTTCACAATTTCGTTTTTTATCTTCTTTAAATGCTTCAGTAAATTCCTTTAAAGAAATTTTTTTTACAAAATAATTCCCTCCCCTTTCTATTTACCTTAAAAAGTAAATTAAAATTTGTTTTATTTTTTGGATATTCATAATCCATATCAATTCCATCAAACCCATATTTTCTCATAAAAATAATTGAGGAAGTAATAAATGCTGTTCGATTTTCTTTACTTTAATTAATTTTAATTTTATTTATTTTTAATTTATTTAAATTACCTAGACATCATATTTTCAAAAAGACTTGTTTGACTTAAAGTCCATCCACCAACAGAAATTAATACTTTGAGGGCATAATCGTAATTCTAAAAAAATTTTTATTTAAGGTTTTTAATAGGGTTTTTTTTTGAAATTTCCTTCATTTTAAACTTAACCACTAGGGCTCTCATGATTAGAATAATTGGAAGAAATATTAAAAATAACTTGCCTTAAGTTCAACAACACGTTGATATAAACCTTTAGGGTCCGATTCATTTGGTAAATCTGCTGGATCTGTTGGTCTTTAAAAACATATATTTTTTAAAATTATTTTTTAAATTTTAGGTAAATGTCTCAAAATTTGATGTCCTCTTAAAATTGTCCACAAATTAAAGGACATTTACTCTTTAAATTTAAATTTTTTACGATAAAATAAAGCTGGAATTAAATTGAGCAAAAGCGTAGAGTATATGTGTGCAAAGTCTTGGAACATAATCTTCTGGAACAAATTTAGCTCTCCCATCTCTATATTGTGCCCAATTTGTAAAATAACAGGGACGTAAATATCCTGTTGTATCACCAACAAAATTACAAGTTCTGACATCTTTAGAGAGAATAAATAGAAATTTATTTTTAAGAAAAATTCAAAATTTAATTTTTTTAATTAATTAATTATTCAGAAAAAGGGAAATTTCTCTTTTTTTTTTAATTTTTTAAAATTTAAATTTAAATAAAAAAGAGGCAAGAAGGAAATAATGAAAAAATTACAAGGATTTTTAAAATTAAATAAATTAGATATTTAAATTTATATTTTTAAATTATGAACTCAAAAAGTATTTTAAAATTATTAGTTAAATTTTTAGTTATATATTGTGATAAATTAATTACATATTTAATGTTTTAGGGGAAAGGGAGGGGGAGGGAGGGATGTCTAAATATTACAATTAATTCTAATTAAGATTTTCTAGCCCCGAGATAATTAATATTTATAATAATTATTTTAAATTATTTTACTATGAGGGGGAGGAGGTTGTGGAGGGAGAATAATGCTGCTAGCAGTTGATGCTTCTTCTTCTGAACAAAATATTTTTAAAAATAAATTTATTTGAAGAATAAGGAAAATGAGGAATTTCATTTTAATTAATTAATTATTTTAAATTAAATTTAATTTAATTTAATTCCCCTTACATTAAATATTTAATTTATTTAAAAGAAGAATTAAAGGATCTCTAAAGGCAGATTTACAAATAATAAAAATTTTTTTAATTTTCAAAAGCCAACTACGTCAAAAGTTTTAAAAATAATTTATTTACCCACCTTTTTATCTTCTCGCAATTCTTTTATAATTCTTTCTATTTTTAGATCAATAAAATGCAAATTTAGAAATACCGTATTTCCTATATTAGAGCCCCATGGGGCTCTATTTTTCAACTATCCTCCAAGGTGGGGCTGTATTAAAGGGTGGGGCTCTAATTGAGGGTGGGGCTCTATTTTTCAACCCTCTTTTGAGATAGAATCCCATTTATTATATCCATTGCAACTAGAGATAGGCCGGAGGGGTCGGTTGATAAAACCGAAAAATATCGAAAGACAATCGATATTTTTCAATTTTTCAAAAAAAATTAAAATTTTATAAGCAATGAGTAACAAAATAATCGCAATAATTCAATGAGGGTAAGATTAATTATGAAATATTTGTAGATTTTGACGGATTAAAGGGAATTTTAGGGGACTTGTATTTGACATTGATGGATCATATGTAGGTATATAAGCGATTTTAAGGGATTATGGGGAATATCAGAGGATTAATTTTATATTGAGAGATTTAGCGGGGTTAAGAGTGATATTTTGAATGAGGTATTAGTAGGCATATGAAGGGATTTTTTGATGAAGAGGGACATCGGTGATATAAGGGATATCTATCGGGATAAAAGGAATACCCACTATATCTCTTCCTTTTCCCCTTAGTTAATCCCTCATATTTCCCTTAATCCTTATGTCCCCATGGCCCTTTATTTCCTTAACTCTTAATAATCTTAAAAATTATTGGGATATTTTTTATTTTTCCTCCAATATTTTTAGGTGGGGCTGTATTAGGGGTGGGGCTCTAATTGAGGGTGGGGCTCTATTTTTCAACTACCCTCCAAAGTGGGGCTGTATTAGAGGGTGGGGCTCTAACAGAGGGTGGGGCTCTAATATAGGAAATACGGTACTTTTTTTTATTATTGGGAATTAAATAAAGCAATTTTATATTTTTTTATATAATTTTTAATCTTTTTGAAAAATAAATCGAAGAAAAAATTTTTTTTTATAATTTTTAAAATTTTTAAAAATATATTTCCAATTTTTAAAAATTAGAAAATTAAATTAAGGAAATTATTAAAAAATAATTATTTGCAAAAAAATATTTTTTTAAATTTTTTTCTAATTAATTTTTGTTTTTTAATTTTTAATCAATTTTAAATTAAAAAATTTAATTAATTAATTTTATAAAATTTTATTACCCCCCTTTTCTTAATTTTTTTAAATTTATTTCCATTAAAAAACAATTTCTATCAAAATAATAATAGCTGCTACAATCTCCTCCCTTTTTCTCCTCTAATTCTCCTCCTTTTTAGAAAATAACTTTTAAAAACTGCGTGGATCATCAAAATAAAAATTTGCAGAAAGGGAGTAATTAAAAAAAGAGAAGGAATAGAAAATTTTGATTTTAATTGAAATAAATACATACTACCTAACTGGATTTTTAAGGGAAAAGAAATGAAAGGAAGGAATAAATATATTCTTTTGGATATATTCATTTAAAAATACAAAAGTTGATTTTCTTTTTTTAAATCAATATGTATAATATTTTGTGATTATTCTTTTAATAAATTATCGTAAAAAATTATAAAAATTAATTAATTTAAAAAATAAATTTTTTTGAATAAAAAAATTTATATATAAATTTCAAATTAAAATTTTTCATCAATCAAAAAAATAAAAGATCCATTATTTTCTATTCAAATCTCTAATTTATTTTTATTTAAAGTTTTAACATTTCCAGCAATAAAAATTGTTTTTGAATTTCTAAATTAAAAAAAATAAACAAGAATTTATTTTCAAATTAATTTAAATTTTTTGTTTAATCATCTCTTTTTATTTACATGCCAGGTATCTTTGCCGTTCCGAAAATTGGGAATTTATTTTCTAAATATTGTAAGGATTCCTGTTAAATTCACTGCCCCCTCACAAATTCTAAAATAAATTTTTTTCCAAAAAAAAGAACGCTTCATTAAACAATAAAAATATTTAATAACAATAATTGTGCAATTCTCGAATAATTTTTGCGCGAACATTTAATACCCTTCAGATAAAAACAAAAATAAAAAAAGATAATTTTATTGTTAGTAAGTACTTTCTGGTTTTGTCCTACTGATTTATTTTTTCCTTTCCCAATATTTTATACCCAGCGTAAAAATTTTTATTAAGGATAAATTTGGGAGAGGGAGAGAAACAAGGAAAAAGTATTTTTTAATCCAAATTATTTTTTGGTTGGACGATCAGAAAATAAATATATAAATAAATATGTATATTCTCGTTCTTAGCTAATTTATTATTGTAATTTACTTGGAAAGGATTTTATTTTTCTCCAAATATTTTTATTATATAATTATTATTGTTTGCTAAATTAATTTTAATTAAATTATTATTTTTTTGATTAAAAAGTTGTCTGATTTTTATTTTCGGTATCATTTAACAGAATTTATAAAAAATATTTATAAAATTAAATATAGATTAATTATTAGGGTTGTCGGTTCTGGACCGACCCGAACCGAAGAACCGATGATTTTTCGGTTCCGGATATCCGAAGATTTTCCAAGAACTGACAACCCTAATAATAATAATTACAAAAGGAAAATATTTGGTCAATTTAATTGTAGTAATTTTCAAAAAAAAATTATTTTTAGAAAGAAAAAAGAAAAGAATGTTATTATTAAAAAGGTTACTACCAACACCAACAAAACCATTAATTTATTCAATTATTTTATTTTGTATATTTTATAAAATTAATTCTCAAAATAGTTGTTATATTAATGATTCTGGATTTACTTGTTGTAATAAACAATTAGGTAATTAATTAATTTTGGGGACTAAAAACTTTTATTTTTAAAGAAAACGCAATGAAAAAAGCAATGAGCGGCAAAGATTTACTTTCCTCTGCCAATCACATTCAAAAAATGGCAGAAGGCTCGCTTGGAGGAAAATTTGAAACTGTTAGGAGGGGGGACTGTTTTAAAAATTTTAATTTAATTTTAAAGGTTGTTGCCTTTGACGATTTTGCCCACAAATCACATTTTAAAGAAGGCAAATCATGCAAAGTTGAAAAGAATGGACAATATGCTTTGGCATGGCAGCCTTAATTTTCTAAAATAAATATTTTAATTTATAATTATTTTTTTAGTAAAAAATATTTTTTTGTATTTTTTAAAATTAAATTTAGCCTTTTTTTAATAAAATAAATTATAGTTATTAATTATTACAATTTTTAAAAATATTTGAATTTTAATAAGATATTTTACCTGTATTTTTAAAAATTATTTTTAAAAGATTTTTACAAAAATTAATTTCTCCTTTTATTAACAAAAAATATTTTTTAACAATTATAATAATAAATAATTTTGAGGTCCTTTTTAACATTCATTTTAACACATTTTACAAATTTTTGGACATATTTGACGTTTAACTATAGAAGAATAACTGGAAGAATTGCAAAATCCATTCTTTGCCCAAGCTTGACAACTAAAAAATATCAGAATTTTGGTGGTTTTTTAATTTTAATTAATTTCCGATTCTCAAAACTTGCCCGTCATGATCCTTCTTCCCACAATTTTCTTTTGTATTTTCCTTCTTTTCTTTGTCTACTTTTTCATTTTTATTAGCTTCAGATACTTCTTCAGAAGAACTACAAACAGCACAACTTTTAGCACATTGACTTCTCATTATACGTTTATATAAACGATTTTCACATAGATTTAGTAAACTTAAAGAGATTTTTTAAAGAAATTTTTTTAGAGAAGATCAGTAAGAAAAAAGTGGAAAGAATTAACTTTAAGGAGGGAATTAAGGAGTGAAAATAACTAAAAGAGGGAATAATAACCGTAAGGAATGTCAATCCATGTAAACTATAAATTGAAAGAAAACTTCTCTTCTACGATGAGAGTAATCTGTTCTTTAGGAAGAACTTAAAAAATAATTACATTTATTGTCCTACAAGAAATATTATTTAGATACCTCCTTGGAACTTAAAAATAACAAGGTGTAACTTAAATTGGAAGTATCGTCTAAACAATTCCCTCACCTAATCGCTAATTAAACTTTATTTTAAATTAAGAGGTATTTAATTTAGGGGTTAATTTAAATAATTTAACTTCTTTTATTTTACCTAAAACATCTAGTAGCAATATCTCTACAAACTTTAATTACTTTTTCTGTTTTATTTTTTTCAACTTCTTTATTAACTTCAATTTTGTTTTCTTTAATATCTTTCCAATTAATATTATCATAATCGTCAAAACCATTTGGGGGAACATTTAAAGGATCAACTTTTTTTTAAATAATTATTTTTGAATTAAAAATTAATTGAATACCAATTTTATATTCAATAGAAAAATGTTGTTTTTTGTATTGACTAAATACGCTTATAATAGCTAATTCTGTATTGCTATAGAGAATACCCAATGGGCGAACATCTGAACGGCAACAGATTCTTTGAAAAAAATAATAATTTTAAAAGAAAATTTAAAAATTTTTTAACTGAATTGTTTGAATATTTTTAAAGAATCATTGACTAGACTCCTTTAAGAACGTCTCAATTTGTAATTTTCTTTAAGGAACATAGGTACAGGGGTAATACTTCTTTTATTTTTCAAAACCTTCAATTCATTTTAAATATGGCGCTATTCCTATATACCTTCCCCAATAAAAAATAAATTTAGATCCATAATTATTTAATATTTTTTCATTTAAATATATTCAATTACCTAGCTCCAACTCTAAGAAAATCGCGTGCTTTAATTTCTGTTCCTCCATAAAAACAACCATCTGAACAAGCACCAGAAACAGATTTAACACGAATTTGAATTCTTTTACCCATTGGTGCCTTTTAAAATTTTTTATTAAAAATATATTTTTTAATCACCCTAATATGCCACCAACACTGAGCATGTCTTGGGGCCATTCCATTTTCTACAGAACTCGAAACTTCTCCATTTAATATTTGAAAATCAGAATTATTTGCCTAAAAATTTCTTTTTATTTTAATTAAAAAAATAGAAAAACTTTAATTGTTGCCCCACAATTAGGAGGGGCACCAAATACTGGAGTTGCCCTTCTTGTACAGTCAAAACCTCCAAACCCATCTGGACAAATACAGGTAGAACAATTACGTGGATGTCTAGAAAGATTTTTTTGTTTTTAAACTTTTAAATACACCTCCAACCTATAACCACCATTTTTACAATCAGCCCCATTTGCATTACAATGTTCTGAGCACTTATAATACAAATTCATCTAATTGAAATAAAAATAAAATTCCCGTTAATTTTAATTTTTATAAAATGGAATTTATCTAGTTGAAGTATACAATCAAAATCGAGGGCTGATTGTATACTAATTGACATTTTCCCGATCCTGAGAATGAAGTGATAAATAACAAATTAAAAGTGACATATACTATAGATGATATTTCTCCTTAAAGTCGCTAATAACGAGAGTTGATCGTATTAAGAATCTAATTTTTAAAATTATCTACAAATTTCCTTTACATTCCATCAATTTTCAATAAATATTAATCACCTCCAAAACATCAAGAAACGAAGGGGCAACATTATTTCCCATTGTATGTTGAAAGCTTTTGTCCTTTGCAAGCATTGTTACACTCAATAAATGATGAATAATATTAACAAAAAAATTTTCAACAAAAACTTTTCTTTTTATTTTGGGACTTTACCTACCGATTAGTGGACATATCCGTATCTGAATAATGCATAATCTACAAATTTATAAAAGATAAAACCCTTAAATAACAATTTAAATAAACACACTTCCATAATCATAAGTAACACCAAAATTAAAATTATCAGCCGGACTCTGTTTTACAAATTGTGTTGCCAATTGTGGACTTGAAGAGAAAAAGAAAAATAAACATATTTTTTAATTTTAAACACCTTAAATTGGCATAAACAACATTAATAAATTGATCCCTATCAAAACGGGCTTGTGCATGGAAGAACCCAAGTGTGTGTCCAAGCTCATGAGCAGCAATGCCGAACTTTAAAATTTTTTTAATTGACAATAAAAATCGTTAGTTTCCAATATTATCTCCCACTAATAATTATTTCATTATTTTTAAAACCCTTTCCTGATAATTTTCCTTCACATTAGGCCTAGACTCAAATAGACCGTTTGTTAACTCAAATTAAATATTTAATTATCCGCCAAACATTTCAACATTTATTCTCGAAAATTCTTTTCTTCTTTTTCCTCTTTCTCTTTTTGGATACAACACTTCACTTAACTTTTCACCCTTATAAAAGACATTCTAGAATATTCTTGCTTTCTCCTTTCTCAATATAAAACGAGGAAAGAAATCCCAGTTTATTTATTTGCAAAGGTTTATCACAGTATTTTTGAGTGTACGGCGGTTTTTATCGCGTTTTTCTAGAAAATTACGCGTTATGTTGTTCCAAACATTGCATGGATCTTTTATAGTAAATCAAAATTTTTAAATTTTTTAGATAACAAATTTTATATTTCTTCAAACGCTAATTCTTCAAAATGCCCGATATTAAGATGGAGGATGTGAACGGCACTCCAGGTGAAACTTTCGCTTTTCAGGCGGAGATCGCCCAGTTGATGTCCTTGATCATCAACACGTTCTATTCCAACAAGGCAAATTTTTGTATTTTTTGCTTTAATTCTTCGATTTTAAGGAAATTTTCCTTCGTGAATTGATCTCCAACTCTTCTGATGCTTTGGACAAGATTCGTTATCAAGCTTTGACTGATCCAGCCCAGTTGGAGACTGGCAAGGATCTTTACATCAAAATTGTCCCGAACAAGGCCGATAAAACTTTGACTATTATGGATACTGGAGTCGGAATGACTAAGGCCGATCTTGTTAACAATCTTGGAACAATTGCAAAGTCTGGAACTAAAGCTTTCATGGAGGCTCTTCAGGTTTAAATTTTGTTTTAAATGAATGTGTTCTCCATTTTAAAAAGCTTAAATATTAAAATTTAGGCTGGGGCTGATATCAGTATGATTGGTCAATTCGGTGTTGGTTTCTACTCTGCCTTCTTGGTTGCTGACCGCGTCACAGTCACTTCTAAACATAATGATGATGACTGTCATCAATGGGAGTCTTCCGCTGGTGGTTCATTCATCATCCGTAACTGCGTTGATCCCGAGATGACTCGCGGAACGAAGATCACTCTCTACCTTAAAGAGGATCAGACTGACTATTTGGAAGAGCGTCGTATTCGCGAAGTGGTTAAAAAGCACTCCCAATTTATTGGATATCCGATAAAGCTCTTGGTTGAGAAGGAACGTGATAAGGAAATTTCTGATGATGAGGCTGAGGATGAGAAGAAGGACGAAAAGAAGGAAGAAGTAAAAGAGGAAGAGAAGGAGATTAAAAAGGAAGAGGGCGAAGAAAAGGAGGGAGAAGGTATTTTTCTTTGATTGCAATTGTTTAATTAATCTTTTTAGATGAGGAGGATAAGGACAAGAAGGACGGTGAGAAGAAAAAGAAGACCAAGAAGATCAAAGAGAAGTACACCGAAGATGAAGAGCTGAACAAGACAAAGCCTATTTGGACGCGAAACCCCGATGATATTACTAATGAGGTTAAATTGATAAATCTATAAATTAGTAACTGTTCTCCACTTTTAAGGAATATGCTGAATTCTACAAGAGCTTGTCTAACGATTGGGAGGACCATTTGGCTGTTAAGCATTTGAGCGTTGAAGGACAATTGGAATTCCGGTAAATCTTTTGTTAGTGAATTTGGGTTAAATTTTTCATTTTTTCAGTGCTCTTTTGTTCGTTCCACAACGTGCTCCTTTTGACATGTTCGAGAATAAAAAACAAAAGAATGCTATCAAGCTTTATGTTCGACGTGTCTTCATTATGGAGAATTGCGAAGAATTGATGCCTGAATACCTCAACTTTATTAAAGGTTACAATTGAAATTTTGATTTTTTTTTATTTTCAAATCATTTCCAGGAGTTGTTGACTCTGAGGACCTTCCTCTCAACATTTCTCGTGAAATGCTTCAACAATCCAAAATTCTTAAAGTAATTCGAAAGAATTTGGTCAAGAAGTGTATCGAACTTTTTGATGAAATTGCTGAAGACAAGGACAACTTTAAGAAATTTTATGAGCAATTCAGCAAGAATCTTAAGGTTTTTTAAAACGAAATGATTTTTAAAAATAATCTTTAGTTGGGTATTCACGAAGATTCTGTCAACCGTAAAAAGCTTGCCGAATATCTCCGTTACAACACTTCCTCTTCTGGCGATGAACTTGTTAGCTTGAAAGATTATGTTGGACGAATGAAGGAAAATCAGACTTGCATTTATTACATTACTGGCGAGTCTAAAGAAGTTGTTCAAAACTCTGCTTTTGTTGAACGTGTTAAGAAGCGAGGATTTGAAGTTATTTATATGGTTGATCCAATTGATGAATATTGCATTCAACAATTGAAAGAATTTGATGGAAAGAAATTGGTTAGCGTTACTAAAGAAGGTTTGGAGTTGCCAGAAAGTGAAGAGGAAAAGAAGAAGTTTGAAGAAGATAAAGTCAAATTTGAGAAACTTTGCAAAGTTATTAAGGTACTTCAAAAAATTTTGTTTAAAGAATTTTGGAATGTTTAATTTTTTAGGATATTTTGGACAAAAAAGTTCAAAAAGTCTCTGTCTCAAATCGACTTGTCTCTTCTCCATGTTGTATTGTTACTGGTGAATATGGATGGACTGCAAATATGGAAAGAATAATGAAGGCGCAAGCTTTACGTGATTCTTCTACAATGGGATATATGGCAAGCAAAAAGAATTTGGAAATCAATCCAGACCATTCCATCATTAAGTGAGTTTATGACCTAACTTTTTTTTGGTAAATTCACATTTTAAATGTTTAGGTCTCTTCGCGAACGTATTGACTCCGACCAAGATGACAAAACTGCCAAAGATTTGGTTGTTTTGCTCTATGAGACAGCTTTGTTAACTTCTGGCTTCTCTCTTGAGGACCCGCAACAACACGCTTCGCGTATTTACCGAATGGTTAAACTTGGATTGGACATTACTGAAGAGGACTTGGAAGGAGGCGAGCAACAACCTTGCACTTCTGGTGAACCTGTTGAGAAGATTGCTGGTGCAGAGGAGGATGCTTCGCGTATGGAGGAAGTTGATTAAATTAATGTTAAGAGGTTTTGATGGATTGATCTCCTCGTTGACTTTGTTTTTCTTTAAATTTATTTTGTTTTGTCGTCCTTATAATTATTTACTTTACTTTGTTTTTGGATCACGGATACATAAATTAATTTCACAAAAAATATTTCTTGATTTTTAATTTTGGGACTTGTTTTAGGATATCCATTTAATGTGGGGAAAATATTTAAAAAATTACCTGTTCGCAGCCATGACCAAGCGAAATCATCTTTTAAGTATTATAAGTTTGATATAGTATTATTTAAAATTTACCTGTTCCCCTTGATTAAATGCTCTCCCAACTTGACTTCAAATTTAAAATAAATTTTGAAATAGAAGAGATTAAAACTCTACCTGTAACAACCCCCTCCAGGAAAAATCCGCACTTTTGGATTCCCCTGTCCATTTTCAGCAAAAGATAAACAAGTATTTTCAGTCCAGAATTGGGCTGCTAAACGAACTAATTTTCTAGCATTTTCACCTTTAATTTTCTTTAAATTTTTTAAAAATAAATTTAAATTTACTTAATTTTGGATCAAAAATATATGGAACAGGCTTTGAAGGTTCCCATTGATTTTTTGGAAAATTTCTGCCAGTTTGTGCTTGCCTTCTTTTTCTTTTTTTATTAAAATTATCATCATTCAAAACCATTAATTCATCCCCACCAACAATTATAGTTAACTGTCCAGGAATTATTCCTTCACTAATTCCCCCTTTTTTATTTTGATTTACAATATTTAATAAAATTTCTTTTGATTCATTAAAAGTTAAAAGAATATCTCCCTTAAAGTTTTTTGTTTTTGGATTGAATTTTTAAAATAAATATACTTGATATAAAAAATCATTTAAAGGTTTATTTAATTCTGCAATAGCTTCTTTGTTTTGATTAATATTTTTGTTTGATTCCCTTTGTTCAGCTAAATTCTGGAATTTTTAAAAATGTTTTGTTGAAATTAAAATTCATTATTTTTTAATTTGTTGGAGGAAACGAGAAGGACGAGAAAAGGGGATATTATAATTTTACGAGATTTTAATTCCTGAATTTTATATGTACCCTTAGAATACGGTAAATATCCTTCAACAGCAACTTAAACTCTCATAATTAGGGTTGCAGTTTCTGATTCGAGCAAGCCATAGCAAAAGACAAGCCATAGCAGGTTCAGTGCATTTTTTCGAGCTTGATTTTTTTTCGGTTCGTTTTCGAGCTGAAAAGCCTCGGCTCGCTCGATCTTTCGAATTTCGGTTCGAGCGAGCTGACAACCCTACTCATAATAAGGCTTTAACAAACAGAAATTAATTGTAAAAATAACAAAGTATTTATATTTTAAATAATTTAAAAACAAGCCATAGCATGTGCTAAAAGAACACTAGGTTCAATTAAACCAGCAGCTTCCCATCCGGCCATTAAATGTTTTTTAATTTCTTCCAAATTTTGCCTAACTTTAAACATTTCTTTCATTTTTTCTTTACCCATTGAAAAAGTAAATTCGTCTATTTTCTGATTTTTAAAAAGAATTTTAAAAAAATCAGAATTAAATAAACTTGTTGTGTTATATTTATTGAAGAAGGCTTTTTTCGAGAAAATTCAAAAATTGAAGGAATTATTTTTAAATGTTTTAGACGTTCAATTAAATTAAAAGAATAACAAAAATTAAAGAAAAAATAAAAAATTAAAATTTTATTTAATAAAAACATTTTCTTTTTGAAATTAAAAATAATTTTCAAATAAAAAAGCTTTATTTTTTAATGAATTTAAAAACAATAGAAAGGAAAATAAAATAAATGAACAAAAAAATGAACAAACAAAAGAGGAATAATAATAGAGATAATAAAAAAATAATTTGACAAAAATAAGAGGAAAATTAAAAAATTAAATTAAATTTATTAGTCGATAAACACAATAAGAAATACAAGGTGGAATTGGGCTGGATCAGACAAAGGAGATCAGGAACAGCCGGCCAGGCTTCTATCATCCAATACACTGCTCCACATAACCATAACCTCACCCTAAAATTTCTTGACTTATACCGAATCAAAAGTCTGTAAGCGCTTTATTCATCGAGATTTAAGACAGTGTATGATACCAAAAACACAACAATTTTCTAAAAAAATTTTTTTCTTTAAATTCTCAATTATTCAATAAAATATTTTTTAAATTCAAATAAATTTCCAAATATTTTCCTAAAAATATGTGAGGTCTAAAAAGAATTTAGAGAATGCCCGGTGGCAAGACTTTTTTCCTTTCTTTCTCTTCCATTCTTTGTCCAAAATTTGTTTGGCGGTTATTTTCTTTGAAGTTTTTTTCCTTTTGAAGTTGCGCCGAACAACGCGGCAAAACATTTTTAACTTTTCTTTTTTTGATTTTTAAAAATAAATAAATATCCCTTTTTTGTCCATTATTGTCGTTATATTTTACTAAAATGGAAAGTATATTTTTAGCGGTAATTTTGAAGAAGCTTTTTTTAAAAAAAATTTAAATAAACAAATGCTTATATTTTTTGTTTTTTTACTTTGTTTTGGCGCATATATTAAACGAAAGAAAAATGTTAAAATTTATTTAAAAATTGTTAATTAAAATATTTTTTAATATCACATTAATCCTTTATTCATAAAATCAAATTTTTTAAAAATAAAAAATAATAAAAAAAATCTTTTACATAAATCTAGTACATACACCTAATCTAGTAATCTATTCAGAACTAGGCTAATTCTTTAATATTTCTTGATATCCAGACTCCGTTATTCTCAGAACTTTCATTTATTTAATCAAAATTCTTAATTTTTTAAAAATAATTTAGTTTAAATTTTTTTTCTAAAAATCCCTCCTAATGTCCCTCTTAAATATTTTATATTTAAAATAACCCCCTCCCCCCTCCCCTCCTTTTTAACAATAATTTATATTTATTTGTTGAATAGTTTTTAAGAAATTCCTTCTTTATGTAAAAATGTCCAAACAACCTTCTTTTCCCTTCCACTTAAAGTTGTTGAGTTCGCGCATTTTAAAAAGAAGAATAAAAAGCTTCAAAACAATACACAAAAACAACAACAAATAAACTACACTATTTAAAAGAATTTGGGAAAATAATAAAAAGAATTAAATAAAATAAAAATAAATAATTTTTATTTAAAAAAATATTTTACAAAAATTTTTTAAAATAATTTTTGGACCAAAACAGAATTTTAAATGAAATTTTTCTAATATTTTTTACATTAAAAGCTTTCTTTTTTGGCCCAAAAATATTTTAAAATTTTTGTAAAAAATATTTTCTTCATTTCTTAATTATTATTTTTTAAAAATATCATTGATGCATAATTTAATATATATATATAATTCCCGCTAAATTCTCACCTTAAAAAATACAAGTACATTTATTGTCTCTTAAATTTATTTAAATATTTCCTTCTTTATTCCACTTCATTTATTTATTTTTTTTTCTTTTAAATTTCTCAAAAGAACAACAATAAAGGAGGGGGGAGGGGGGGGGGAGTGGAGGGAGTGAGCGCAACCACCAAAAATCTGTGTCCACAACAATATTCCAAAATCTTTCTTCCTTTTATTGTTACGCCCATTTAAATTTTTAAAAATATTTTAAAATTATTATTTTATTTCCCGCTTCAGAGAAAATTTTTAAATGACGGAAAATAATTTAAAATTTATTTTTAAATCTAAAAATATTAACTTTTCTTCTTTTAAGACTTCGTACTAATCCTTCACAATTTAATAATGTTCAACACGCAATCCCAACATTTTTAGTCACTAAAATAATTACGATTTATTATTCTTTTAAACTTAAACAAGAATTAAGAACTCTCTTATTTATAACCGGAATTAATTTGTTAAAAATTCCTTCAAAAATTTTTCTAATTAATTATTTGATCACCTTATTCCCTAATTAATTAATTATTAGAGACAAATTAAAAATACAAAAATTGCTCTATAATAATTAATTTTAAAAGGACGGAAATAATTTATTTTTAAGAATTTATTTTATTTTATAAAATTAAATATATTAATTTTAAAAATAAATTAAAAATATTTTTACAAGAATTATTAAATTGAGAAATTTATTTTTGTTAATTTTAAAACAAAAATATAGGCGCATACATATTTCTTTTCCATCGTTATTTTCTTCTAATATTTAGTCAAGTTTTTGATTTGAGAATTTTAAAATTAAAAAGGAAATTTTTTAATATGTACACAATTTATTTTTTTGTAAAGAATGTTCAATATTTTTATATTCTCTTTTTAATTTCAATATTTCATATCTTTTAATATACATAAAAATAACTTTATGTTGTAATTATTAATTATTTCTAGCTTTTACAAATATTTCTTAAAAGATTTCCACAAACAACCAATTAAATGTCAACAAAAACCAAAATAAATTTAAAAAATGAAAGAATAACTACCAACAACAAATCTTCTTCATTATTTAAACAAATATATTGGGTAATTCCCCCTTTCCTAGCCTTTTTAATTTTTGCCCTTTTATTGTTAGCTTTATTAACAGCAATTATTGGATTAATTTTACCAACATTTTTAATTAAAAAAGAAATTAAAGAAAATAATTTTGAAGAAAATTTAAATGAAAATTGTTTAAATAATTCGTCTTTTTTGTGGTTAATTAATGCAACTTGGTTAAATTCTCCTTCATTTTTATTTGGAACAATACATGTTCCTTATAATAAAATATGGGAAGATAATAAAAGTAAGGAGGAAGGAAGGGGAGGAGTTTTTTAAATAAATAAAGAGAAATCCCTCTCCCTTTTTTTGATTTTTAATTAATAATTGTCTTTCTGAACTAAACTAAAATTTAATAGAATTTTTAAAAAATTGTCAAATAAATTAAAAATCTTGAAATCTTGGAGGAGAAGTTATTAAAGTATTAAATTTTTAAAAATTATAATATAATTTAATTTTTTTGAATGTATTAATTTTTTGGGTCCACAACAACTTTAACAATTTTCTTGAAATTTCCCAACAAACTTCAAAAATTTTTAAACTTTTTTTTATTTCTCAATCTTTCCAGTTTCCTAATTTTCTTTAGATTCCTCTTAATTTTATTTATTTATTTAAAACAATTTTTATAAAAACAAAAATTTATTTATATTTAATTTTTTGTTTATTTAATTCAAATATTTATTTATTTAACAATGAATGGCCATATTTTTATTTATAAATAAACCAAACTCATTATTTATATTGTTAAATGTAAAAAGGAAAAAGGGGCACCTGCTGAGGGTTATTGTGTATTTTATATAAACTAAAAAATATTTTTTTTTGGTAAAAATTAATTAAAAGGAAATTAGGGGAAATGACCTGAAGAAGGAAAAATAATAATTATTAAAATAATTATTTATTTAAAAAATTTGGAAATATTTAATTTAAAAAAATTTTTTTTAATTTAAAGTGCCACCACAAATTGAAAGGGCCTTTAAATCTTCAAATTCTGTTGTTTTGGAATTGGCACTGCAAAACCCGGAAATTGGTTTTTTAATTTAAATTAATTTATTTCCAATTTTGGGGAAGTTTTGGGTTGGAAAATTTAAATCTAATAGTTCTATTAAATTGGAATAAATGATAAAACTAATAGAGCTTCTAATAACATAATCAAGTCTTTTTTTAATCCCTCTATTTATTTAAACTTCAAATTAATAAAGGGAAAAGTTGCAGGGTTCAAACGGGGTTTATCCAACCCAGATCCAGATATTCTAGTACTACTAGCCCCATCCAGATAAAATACTTTAAAAGAAAAATATTTTTTAAGTAAAGCAATTAATTTACTGTAAACAATTACCCAATTCTGGCAATTTACGTGATATTTTACCAAAAGAATTATTTAATAGACTTAAAGATTATATGCAAAGAATTCATTTAAAACTTGTTAAGCATGCTTATATGGTTTTTTTGAAAATTATTTAAAAATAAATATTTAAATTTATTTTAAAGACACATAGAAGACATTCACATGCACGTAGATATGTTAAACGGTTTTTTCCAAGTAAATTTTAGTAAATTAAAAAATATTTTAATTAAACAAAAAACATTTTGAAAATATTTTTTAAACATTGGTAATCCATCATTAATAGGGTTGTCGGTTTCACCAAATTTTTCGGTTAACCGAATTCGAAACGGAAATCATTGGCTTTTCGGTTCGGTTCGGTTTGAAACCGACAATCATAATTATTAATATTGTTTTGGTATCAGAGAATTTTAAAATTAATTTAAAATAATAACAAAATAAATCCCTCATAATATTTTTTAAATAAAAGATGATTGGGAAATCCGTAGGCCAATTTGGTTATTATTTCTTTTATTTCAACTTGGAGATTCTCCTCCACATTTACAAGAAATAAATTCACAAATAATTCCAACACCAATGCTCGATTTGTATTTGGCACAATTGGCTAGTGAACAAAATAAAAATTTAATTTCGGTAAAATATTCGGGTAGACAAAAATTTCAAAAAAAATTATTTTTTAAAGATGGAAACAGTATCAGAACAATGTAATCCAACACAATTAATTAAATTAGAAGAAATAATATTTGCAATAAATTATACTTTAAATTATATTGAATGGACAGAAAAAAGAGACGAATTAGATAATAATAAATTAAATTTAACAGCTACAACAATGAATAATCAGTCAATTAATAAATTAATTAAACATTATAAATGGTTTGTTTTTATTGAAATAATTAAAAAAATATTTTTTTTAATTTTTAAAGTGGAACTTTACAAGTTGGAATTGAACAAGTAAATAAATTAATTAAAATTAATTAAATTTTGGATTAATTTATGTAGTTAGTTTTTGGAGCACACAGATTTACACAAAATGGATTCCAAACAACTCCGGAACAAGACAAATTAGCTAAAGAAGTAAGAAAAACAAAATAAATATTTCTAAAAATTAAATTGTTTTTTAGATTGACAATTTATTAGTTGAGGATATTTTATTGAGGAGAAATGAAAGAATGGCTAGGTAAAAATTAAAAAGAATTTTGATAAATATATAGGGGGATATAAACTCTCAAATTTTTCGGTCCGAAAGGTGACACACAAAGTATGATCCGTGTATATTTCAAATATAAATTTTTTAACTCAACAAAATATTAAACTAATTTTAAATTATAAATAAATTTTAGACGAACAGATTTATTGTTAAAAGAAAATTCAAACAAAACATTATTTTTTGCCTTAGGAGCAGGCCATTTATTTGGGAATCAGTCTTTAATTGAATATTTAAAGAGGATTGGTAATATTTGAATATAACTTCAATTTTAAATACCTTCTCGGGTATTTTAAAATTTTAAATACCTTCTAATGGAGTTGAAGTTACCAAAGTTACCCCAACTTTCTCGGGGTAGAAAAATTGTAATTCTTTATAATTAAGGGGTACATTAAACTGAAGGGGCGTTTAGGTATTTCCCCCACTCCAGTTTTGGAGGTATTTAAAAACGAGGTTTAATATTTAATTATTTAAATATTTAATTTTTAAAGGTTATCAAATAATTCCAATAAAAAATAAAATTGAGCAAAATTTTCAAAATAATTTTCGTTTATTGGAAGAAAAGGAAGGAATATTCAATGAATTGTTAATTCCAAATAATTTAAATAATAAAAAAATAATAAAGCCAACAAAAATTGAAATTTGGTTAAGGGAAGTATCCTCTTCTTCTTCTTTTAATTTATTAAATAGAGGAGTAAGTTTTTATTTTTAATTTAAATTTAATTTCTATATTTAGTTAATTTCTATAACAATTATATTTTTATTTTTACAAACACTCCTAATATTTTGCTAATAATAATAATCTGTTAATCCAACATTAAATTTAAAAAAAGAAACGGGTAGAAAACTAAAGAGATACTACAACATATATTCAATTTAATTAAAATTTTTATTTTAAAAAATAAAAAGTACTCGACAATAAAATTTTTTAAACAATTTACCGTAAATGCTCGAATAATTACGCTCTCCCAAATAATTACCCCCTTTAATAATTACCTCCTCCTTTTCTTTAATTTTAAAAATATTGAAAAAATCATTGTCAATTTTAATTATTGAAACATTATAAGAATTATATGAAAAAATAAATGGCTTTCCTACTCGATTTATTGAGATATTCCCAAATTTAGCACATCCTCTCGATTAATTAAAACAATAATTACCCAGGGTAATTATTCAAGCATATACGGTATTTGAAAGAAAATGTGAGTAATTTAGAAAAATTATATGTAAGCATTATTTCCCGTCTAATCCTTCAAAATAATAGATTCCAACAATCGAGGAACCAAACTTAAATAATTATTTTTAATTTCTTCCCATTCGTTACTCTTTAAAAAGTTCCTTTTATTTGCTTGAATATAATTTATACATGTCTGTAAAAATAATTAAAATTAAAAATATGTATTTAACAAATATTATTTTACCTTCTCCAAAGTTGGAGCACCATATAAGTCAATAATCCCACAATATTTAACAATGTTTTCATTATCTAAAATAAAAATATTTGGAATCTCTTTTTAATTTTCTGCTAAATTTTCTCACTAATATTGCTAGACATAAAACGTTCACACAAATATTTCAACATTTCTACTTCATATTTATGGGCAATAACAAAAATACCATCAACGTGATCTTTCATTCTATCTTTAAATTTTAAATATTTTTTAAAAATTTGTTTTTATTTAAACCATCAGAAACCATTCCAATATAGAAAAACTCCAACATTGCACGAACACATTCTGGTGTTGTATCAGTAAGAATAACTTCCCCCTAAATTTATTTTAATGATTTCATAACTAATGAACAATTAATGGAACCATTTTATGGTAAATGTGGGAGAAAGAGGACAAGTTATGACCAGTGCTTCGAAATTTCGTACTTCGTACCGCCTCTATTTTTGGCCTCGTACTCGTACCTCGTACTACCCTTAGTAGTACGAAATACGAGCACGAATTTTGGTACGAGCTTCGAAGCACTGGTTATGACCCTCCAGTTTTAAATTTTGAGCCATTTGAGTTAGTGAAAAGGACTCAAGGAGCTAAAAAATAGCTAGAAAAAGCCTATTTTGAAAAAGCCTAGGCTACGTTTATTAGATTTTCAGAATTCTCTATTCCTCATACAAAATAGTAGCACTTTCGTCAAATGAAACAAATTTACTTGCACTTTTATTTAACAAACACCTACATTTTGTGCTTCAGTCATGCTATTCTGTTCAAACATTTTGTGAAATACTTTACTATTCTTTGCCAAAATACATTTATGTGTTTTTATAACTTCATCATCAACCTAAAAATTGTGTTATTTTGAAATATATTTTTATTAAACTTTAATAACAAAATCAGTTAATATTTCCTCATTAAACATGTTTGCATAAGTAATTTGCAAATTATCATATGAATTGTAACCGTCAATTTCAACTTTGCAGGCAAGCTTCAAATTTCCTAAAATAATTTTCAGATAAAGAAAAGTTTTTGTTTGTAAAGATTTACCGTCAGAATTGACTATTTCGTCCAATAAAATTGAAGTAAATCCCAGACGTTTTTGGTTCTCAAATTTGTATGTAGATCTTTAAAATAAAAATTAGGATTATTTTTTTCAATTTTTGGTCTTAGCATTTCCACATACAGGGTACGTCCCGGAATTAATCAAAATGAATTACTTTTTTTTAAATCAAAATAAAAATAAGTTTACACAAAATGTTTAAAAAAATCTAATAAACAAATAATCAAAATTAGATCCGCCCGCTGAGATACACGCATCCAAACGCCTCCGAAAATTTCCTACTGTGGTCGCGCACTCCTCTTCGCCTATTGATGCCCAGGCAAAACAAAATTGTTAATAAAAAGTTACGTTACAGGTTAACGAATGATTACAGAACCAGTAACTCTAAAATCTTACAAAATATACGGCAAAAAATGAGGAAATTTTTTTTCAACTCTAGTTTTAACCTACCACGTTGAAACAAATAAGGAACTATTTACTTTGCAATTTTCACTCGCTCCACATCATTAATTGCCCAAATTCTATATTTAGTATTCACGAGAGAACTCAAGCTTGTAGGCCCTAATTGTTGAATCCAAATATTAACAGTCTTACGGCCTTTTATTAATTCCACACATAATTGAAATTCCGCTGATGGAAATTCTGAGCAAGAAAAATTGGTACATGGAGAAAAAAATTAGTTAATTAATTTTTAAAAAATTGTCAAGATTACTTGATAATACAAGTTTGTCTAAAGGCATAGTAAATTGAAGCTTTTTAGGACCAATAACACTCATATCGAATTCATAACTAACAGTATCCATCTAAAAATTGAGAGTTAAAGTAATCTAAAATTAGGCTCATGTAAGGATAGTTCTAAAATAAATCATGGAAAGAAGTTAAAAATAGGGACAATTATGTAACATTAGATATTTTATAATAAGAGGAAAAGATGGGAAGATTGAAAACAAAATGAATGTATAAATCATTAAATAATGGAAACACAAAAATATTAGGTTGATATTTCAAATTATTTATGAGAAAATATACTAATTTTGAATGCCGTTCCTTTCTTCCTCAGTTTAACAAATTTGCCTATTACATACAAACATTCAAAAAAAAGATTATAATTTAAGGCGTAGCCGGCAATTTGGAGAGTGGGGAATAAGTGTGGAGTATTCGGACAATTGGGCAGTGGAAAGAAATTTTTTAAAAATAGTCTAAAATGATGCAGAAACACAGCGGGTTAGAGCGGAAATAAGGAAGTGTCTCCGCTTTTCTCTCTTTCATTTACTTGCTCTCTCATTTTTAGCATTACTCTCGTTACTATTTTAGGTTGCCAATTTCGAAATCCGATATCTCGAGATTTACAGATAGGATTCGAATTCTGTCAGTTTGTTTTAACGATAACATGCTCTTCTTTCTAATAAATTTATTTTTTTCAATTTTAATGCAGATTTCGTTAACTTCTATGCACAATTACTTTAATATAATTTTTAATAGAAAAACTAACAATAAGTGTGAAAATGTCAGCTCAATTCGATTTTAATACCATTCGATGTGGCTCGATTAGTCTGGCTTCTGACTTTCCAAAATTCTGAAAATTTTTGCCTGCGGCGCAGAAAAAGGGTTAATAGGTGTTAAGGGAGTTTCGACGTAGTTGGGGTAATAGAATTTGGTATTTTATATTGCCGTTTGTCCGATCTCTATGTATGGTATATTTTGGTCGTTCCATGTGTTGTCTTTTCCATGTTTTGTTCGACCGTGTTTTAGCCTGACACAACCGAACCAAGGTTCTAAAATGCAGATTATTTATACCAATCTGCAATATATTCAATTAAATATTTTAAATTTATTTTGAATTTTATTTTAAAAAATAAAAGTATTCGATAATAAAAAAATTTTTAAATAATTTATTTGGAAAAATGGTAAAATAAAAAAAATTTAAGCATTATCTGTTTAATCTTTCGATAATAGGTTCCAAAAATCGTGGAACCAAACTTGGATAATTATTTTTAATTTTCTTCCATTCTTTAGTTTTTAAAAAATTCTTTCTGTTTGCCTGAATATAATTTATGCATGCCTGAAGATAATTATAAAAATTAAAATATTTAGATTAATTATGGGACCTTCTCCAAAGTTGGAGCACCATATAAGTTAATAATACCACAACATTTAACCATACTCTCATTATCTAAAAAATATTTGGAATCTCTTTTAAATTTTATATTAAACTTATTACCAATATTGCGAGACATAAAATTTTCACACAAATATTTTAACTTTTCTACTTGATATTTATGGGCAATAGCAAAAATATCATAAACATGAATTTTCATTTTATCTTTAAATTAAAAACATTCGTTAAAAAATCTGCTCATTTTATTTAAACCATCAGAAACCATTCCAGAATAGAAAAACTCCAACATTGCACGAACACATTCAGGTGTAGCATCAGAAATAATAACTTCCCCCTAAATTTATTTTAAAACCCCCAAAATCAACTATTATCTCGTTTAACAAGTCATTTAATTCAAACGTTTTAATTTTTATTTTTCAATTTCTAAACCTAAAATAAGTTATCCCTTTATTTGATTTTTAGATGTCAGGGTAACGAGTAAATACATATATATTTTAATGAGATAAATATTATAATTACATTTTGTGCTTCAGTCATACCACTCTGTTGAAACATTGTATGAAATACTTTACTATTCTTTGCCAAAATACATTTATGTGTTTTTATAATTTCATCACCAACCTAAAAATTATTTTTTTGTTTTTGAATAAAACAAATAAAAACTTTAATAACAAAATCAGTTAATATTTCCTCATTTAACATGTCCATATAAGTATTTTGCAATTTATCATATGAATTGTGACAGTCAATTTCGACTTTACAGCCAAGCCTCAAATTTCCTAAAATAATTTTCAGATAAAGAAAAGTTTTTGTTTGTAAAGTTTTAATAAATAATATATAGACAGGAAATGTAAGTATAGTAATATATTTAGTTAACCTGCACTAATATTTCGAGGACTAAGTTTATCCTATACTTGCAAACTTTGTTAGATATTAAATTTATCTATAACCTAAAAAAATTTTGGAATTTTTATGATTCCAGAACCTGGAATTAAATTATAACAAGTTAATATGTAAATATGTAGTATCAAAGTAGAAATTTAATTTATTGCCAAAACTTACCGTCAGAACTAATTATTTTTTTGTCCATTAAAATTGAACGAAATCCCAGACGCTCTTGGTTCTCAAAATAGTATGTATATCTTTAAAATAAAAATTGAGACATTTTTTTCAATTTTCGGCTTAGTATTATTTTTGAACTTTTGTGTTCCATAACATTTATAGGTAACCAATCGTTAACTTATTAATATAAGTTCGGGAAATCCACCCAGAAGACCTACACCATCTAGACTTATTGACCCTGAAGAAGGGATAAAGAGGGAGTAAAGAAATGTCGTGAATTTTGAGGTTTTAAAGGGAATAGGAGTTTATAGGGATAAAAAGGATCTTCTGGTATCTTTGTTATCCCCATAATATACTGATATCCAAAAAATCTACTCATATTCCTCCTAATCTTCTAATATCCAAAAATCTCCTGATATCCCCTTAATCCTTCATTACACGCCGTTAATCCCTCCAACCGCTTTAATCCCTCCTCCTTCCAAATCTCATTTACCTAATCCCTCAAGATCCACACGATATTCCATTAATCCCTACAAGTCTTTTTCCCCCTTTAATAACTGATAAAAAAATTTGAGTAGATCTTTAGGGTGTAGGTCATGGGTGTGTAGGTCTTCAGGGTTGACCGCGGTTCTGGTTAAGTGAGAAAACTTGTTAATAAAATTTAAATTAATTAACAAATGGTCGAATAAACAGTAATTCCAAAATTTACAGAACTTCAGGAGAAAATATTAAAATTTTTGGGAAAAGGAAAAAGATAATGGAAATATTTACTTTGCAATATCCACGACTGCCTCATCCTTAATTACACAAATTCTATATTTAGTTTTTGAGAGAGAATTCAAGCTTATAGGCCCTATTTGTTGAATCCAGATATTAACTTTATTAGAGTTTTTTAGTAATTCCACACATAATTGAAATTCTACTGATGGAACTTTTGGATTACAGAATTTGTCACATGGAGAAAAAAGTTTAGTTAATTAATTTAAAAAATATTCAAGATTACTTGATAATAGAAGTTTGTCTACAGGCATAGACAACAGAAGCTTTTTAGGACTATTAACAGTCATACCAAAATTGTAAACAATAGTATCCATCTTAAAATCGAAAGTTGAACTATGTAATCTAAAATTAGGTTAAAGTGAGGGTGAGGGAAGAAATTAAAATTAGGCACAATTTGAATACCATTAAGTACCATTAACTATGATGAGAAACTGCGGAAAAATGAAGGGTTGAATGTTAAATAGGTTGTTCTGTCGGTCAATTCAATAAATATTTCAAAATACATATGTATGAGAAAGTTCTCCCTCATTTCAAATATTTGCCTATGACACACAATTATTCAAAAAAGATTATAATTTGAAGTACATATAGGAGTTAAAAGAATTATTTGAAAATTATTCACTCCGAGAAAGCACAAAAAGTTTTTTCAGTGAAGTTTCGTTGTGTCTTAATTACAATATATTCAGAATTATCATTCGATTCAGCTCGAATCAATTACCATAATTACTTTCCCTTAAATAATTACCCCCATCTATTAGTTAAAAAATGACCCCCCCCACCTATTATTAATTACCCAAGGTAATTAATATAGGAGTTATATATAGGAGTCTATACTCATATACGGTATCCAAAAAAGGAAAGTAGATAAGGAAAATATGGGGAGATAACAGGCAAGTATTTTACTCTAATTTTAAGTAATTTAAAGATTGATTTAATTAAAAATATTTTATTAGGAATGAGCAGTTCCGCATCTAAAGATTGAAAGCGGGAAGTGCCAAAAAAGACTAAATTCTACGCAAGACCGAATCAAAAGAGAACCCCCAACATTTTACGTATATTTATTTAATTAAAATAATTTTGTTTTAATTAAATTTCCATCATTAATTTTATTATTTAAATTTTCTTCTTCTTCATCTTCCTTATCTTTTATATTATTATTTCCATTATTATTGTCAGAAAGTAAATAATCTTCAACAATTGCAGAGAATCTATCCATATCTAATTGATCTGCCGAAGAATCTCCCAAAAGCTCTCGAAATACAAATTCTGCCAATTCATGAGAGAAACCACCAATTTCTTTGGCAACATACTAAAAAAATAATTTAATTAAAAAATCCTAAACTCACAATAAATTCATTTTCAGATATTAGACCATTCTTGTCTTGATCAAAAACCTAAAAATTTATTTTTATTTTTAAAAATAAATTGTTTTTTTGCCTCAAAACATTGCCTAACAACTTCATCATTTGTTGGCCGTTGACGAAAACCTCCCTGTCTTTCAGCTGTTTTCATACATTGACAAAATTCTGGAAAGTCAATTTCCCCGTTTCCGTCTTCATCTACCTTTTTAATTTTTTTAAAATTATTTGTTTAGTGAATTATTTTCTTAAAATAATTTAATTAAATTTAATTTTACTTCTTTAATTAAACGTTCAATTTCTGCATCATCTGCCTCCAATCCAATCTTTTAGAAAAAAATTATTTATTTTTAAATTAAATTTAATTTTACTCTCAACATCGCTCCCTTTAATTCTTCACTTCCAATAGCCCCACTTCCGTCTGTATCAAACATTTTAAATAATTGTTGATATTCCTTTTAAATTAAAAATAAAATTTTTGTGATATTTTCAGAGAATTTGGGACACAAAAAATATTTTAAATAAACTTTTGTCTGTCGGAAAATTTTGCTAATTTTTATTAATTTTTTAAATTTTTCCCAATTACCTACTTTTAATTCCCCTTTTGTATATAATCTTTCAAGCATTTGTTGTTGTTGTCGAGCAGCAGAATGCGGCCTCGCACTGTCCCACCCTCCAATTAAATGACTTCCTCTACGGTTAGCACTATTCCCTACACCCCAACGTTGATGAAATACAGCAGCTGCCGCTGCACGGCTACTGCTTAATGCTGAATTTGGTGTTGGCTTAAAATTAATGGGAAATTAAAGAAACACCTCTATTTAATATACTCTCATTAGAAACGACTAATTTTCATAGAATTGGGTAATTTTAGCTGTTAGAGTTTATGTTTTGAAAGGGGTAGCTTAACTCGAACAAACTCGGTTTTGTTATAAACAAAAGTATACAGGGTAAAGTCAGTGTGAAGTAATAAAGTATTTATCCATTTTTAGTCCATTTTTAGTCCTTTTTTATATTTAAAAATTTAAAAACAAAAAAATCCACTTGTGGTTGTTGTGTTTGTTCATTTCCACTAATAGCCATTTGCAACCCAGCATGTGGAGCACTAGAATGTGCCATAGCTGGAAGAGTTCCAACACGTCCAATTTTCTTGAATTCATAAGCAGTTGACATTTTTATTTATTTAAAATTATTTTTAAAAGATTTTTGAGGACCTTAAATGCTCTTAATGGTAAACGTTGTTGTTGATTTTGGTGGGATTGTTGTTCTCGTTTATCTAATTAAAAAAAGATTTATTAATCTATTTTGGTACTTTTCTGTTTTGTGACCGCACTTTAAAAATGTTTAAAAAGGGCATGAATATGCACATATTATATGTCATTCGAAAGAGCTCCTCGAGCTGAGTCGAATGACACTAAAATCAGCTGAGATCATGATTATGAGTCAAGATAAAAAGGTTCAAAATGGTCAACGTAAACCTATGGATGCATAGGTAAAATTAATCATAACATTGTCCAATCTTGTTCAATCACGGTGATTTTGGTGTCTTTCGACTCAGCTTGCCGAGCTCTTTCAAATGACATACATTTTGGTCATATTAATTATTTTGGCCGTTTTGATCCTTGTATCTTTTGACCATTTCGAGCCCGTACCATTTCGAATCCCACACGATCTTGGTGTCATTCGACTAAGCTCGAGGAGCTCTTTCGAATGACATGTAATTTGTCGATATTCATGACCCTTTTTAAACATTTTTAAAGTGCGGTCACAAAACAGAAAAGTACCTCTATTTTAAATGGTATAAAATTTTTTATAAATATAACGGTATAAAGATAATTGAAAAAGTTTGGGGATTTTTTTATTGAAGATAACATAAGGATAAACTTCAAATTACTGACTATTTCTGAGTCACCAATACACGATATTTAGTTTAATTCTCTATAGTGGCTTCTATATTATCAACAACTTCTATACTATCTTCATCTACCAATCATTCCCTTCGGAGAGGGGGATAACTATTGTTCGGATATTATCTATTGTATTAAAGAATGCCTTTCTTTTACTAAATAAAATAATTTAAACATTTAGGTAAATAAAATATACATAAAAAAACTCAATCTATAATATTTAAAATAAATGTGCGTGTTAGTAGTGAAACCAACGTATCCGTAGGCAGAGAAAAAGGGCAATAGCGTAGGCAGTCGGGAGATAGATAAAGAGATAAATAATTTTAAAATTAAGTCCCTTTATTTTCCTTACTTTTCGTCGACTCCTTTTCCTTATGGTTAGATTTAAAAATTTTATTTTACTAATCCAATTATGTAAATTTTTATAAAACTTATTTTTAATCATTTGAGGTCATTATTTCTATTCTTCTTTATATGGAAAGGATTAGCCTAAAAATTTCAATTATTAAGATTCTTTTCAGTGTGAGAGTGAAAAAAAAGGAACTTTGAAATTTTTCTTTTGTATTTTTCTTATTCAAATTTAACCTAAAATTTAAAATTTTTATTCTAAGATTTTTCTATGCAAAGATTGACCTAAAAAACTCAAATTTTTAGAGGATTAAAATTTCTATCGAAGAAATTTTTTATTCAAAGATTGACCTAAAACCAATCAAAATTTTCAATAGGCTCAGAATCTTTATTGTATTACATATCGAAAGATCTTTCTATTCAAAGAGTTAACCTACAAAACTGAAATTTCTATTGTATTCAATTTGAAGGAAAAAAAGGAGTCCTTGAATTATGTAAATACGTAGGTTTAAGAAATGATGAAAAAACAATGAAATAAATAAAGAATAAAATTGGTTATTAAAAGATAAATATAAAAATTCTTATTTTAAATAATCTTTTTTTTTAATAAAATATATAATTTCAATATCTCTTTATCATCTTTATATTCCTTTTCTAAGTAAAATTCGAACAAACGCAAAATCCAATGCTATCTGGTGTGTTTAGTATTTAGTCATGCAAACTTAAGATAGTATAAAAACCAGTGAGTGTTAGTCTAATTGGATCATACTATCTGGTTAGTCCCTGATCTCCTTCATCTAATCCAACCCAACCCACTTTGCCTACATTGTTAATCTCTATATGTGATAGTGTTATCCTCTCGACCCTTAATTAAAATATCACTCACTCATGTATTTAGTTGAATATAATATTATAAAATTAGTCAATAAATAGGTCAAAATTTCAAGGTTATTATTAAAAATCTTAACCTAGTTAAGAAATTTCTCTAAAAATCCAACTGTGTTTTAATTTGAGAATAACCTAATATAGGTGGAGCTAGAACGGAAGTATAAAAAGCGACTTCTTTTGACCTGAAATATCATTCTACTGTTCAACGCCTGCTTCTTCACGATCAAATCCTACAAATACCACATTCATAACCTTATTTACCCATAGCCTGCCTTCATAGAAAATTTAATTTAGCTATAACTTAAAATTTCATTTTTATTGTTGAAAACAAACATTTATTTTTGATTAAATTTCCTTTCATATATCTTATATCAAATTTAATTTTTTCATTTTAAATTTTATTTTCAAAAATGCAACCTACCCCTCCCAAGAAAATTAAAATCACCCCTACTGAGAGTCTTGACTTCTATGTTAAAAAACTCGGTCATGAGACCAAGTTTACCCAAAAATTTAATCTTCTTAAGTTATCAACCAAATTCATAATCACAAATGTTTCCAATAATCCAGAAGGTTTACTAGGCTCGATTTTTGAGTATTGTATCGATCAATCTCTATTAGAAAATCATGAACGACAAATGGAACCAGATCAGCTAGGGTGTATAATTTCGAGTCAGAACCTTGACTCAGACATTTGGATCCCGGTTCGAGAAATCACGTCCAACACAATTGATTCAATTTTGAATCAATTCCTAAAGGTTGCCCAGAGTAAGAAACAGGATAATGGTATGTTATGGGGGGCCCCTTTTCTTGTTTCAATAACAACTATACAAAGAGATGGACTTAATTCTAGAACCGTGCATGGTAGCGGTAGAGAGCTACAAACAATTCATCATAGGATTAATGAACAAAACCTTATAAAAATACGAAATACTGATACTTACTGTCTCTTCCACGCTTTGATGGCTACTTTTGTTCACGCAATATTTTCCTGGCCAAGATGGAAATTCTATGATTATCTCCATAGTCGAAGGGGGATGAAACAACTTCTCGAAAACGATGTATTAGAGCTAATGGAAGAGATTGGAGCTGAATTTAATCAAGAGGTGTACTGCGCTGAAGAATGGGTCCCACGGGTGGTTGACTTATGGAATACAGTGAACAGAAGATGGTTTAAAGTTTATATATTCGGGGATTTGGGGGGAAAACCTATTTATAAATACGGGCCTGATAATTTTGATATCCCTATAATTTTGTATTATAATAAGGAACACTTTGATGGTGTCCGCAAGGTTAGTGACTTATTCGGTCAACCCTACTGTTTATCTTGTGAAAGCGTTTATAATAGGAAATTGAACCATGCAATTTCGTGTAAATCTAGATGTCTTAACTGTTCAAGGGTTGGCCCAGGGTTTCCATGTAAACCTTTAGATAATTTTTCAAAATTTTGTAAAGGGTGTGAGAAAAACTTTAAGAATGAAAACTGTTACACCCACCATATCACCTCGAATTTTTGTAGTTCCTCTAAGAAATGTAAAAAATGTGGGGTTATCTGGGGTGTTAAGAATAATAATAGGAATGGAAGGGAGGGTCATATTTGCTCCGAACGCTATTGCACAACGTGCGGTAGCTACCACGATCCTAAGCGTGGGTGTTACATCAAGCCCCTTCTCATCAAACCCCCAAAGGCGTACCGAATTATCGCCTTTGATTTTGAAACCATGCAGCACCGTGAAGGGGAAAAGGGTAAAATACATGAGGTTAACTTTATAGGGGTAAAAGTAAACTGTCCCGAGTGTATCAATAACGGACCTAACCCTAAATGTTCCATATGTGATGAGTACCGTACGATCACCTTCTCACACAAACCCTTTTATCATACAAAGGTTGACCAACAAAATATAATCGTAGATCCACTGTCATCATTTGTTTCTTGGTTAATTAAGTCATCAATAACAGATACGATTGCTTTCTCACACTTTGGGGGTAGATTTGATATGGTACTAGTGTTTAAGGAATTGTTTCTTAGAGGGTTGACCCCAGAAATGATTAAAAAAGGTAATAAGTTATACGAAATGAAGGTAAAACTTGGTAAAGATAATTGGGTTATTTTTAGGGACACTTTTAATTTAATGCCCATGCCCCTTGCTTCCTTGGTCCCTGCCTTTGCACTTAGTGTAGAGGACAAACCTTTTTTCCCACACTTGGTAAATAGGCCGGAAAATTATGGTAAGGAAATTTTCCCGGTGAAGGATGACTATCTGGCTGATGGGATGATGCCCGAGAAGAGAGCTCAATTTGATAAATGGTATGAAGAACACAAGGATGAGTCTTTCAATCTGGTCGAATCATTGGCGTCATATTGTACCAACGACGTGGAAATTCTAATGGCTGCTTTGGTTGCATTTAGGCGCGAATTTCTGGATGTGTCAAATGGATTGGATGTTCTGAGAGAGGCAATGACAATCGCCAGTGCATGCATGAAGCACTTTAGGGCAAACCACCTACCGGTTCAACACCTTGGCATTGTTCCTGAGATTGGATATGACAACACAGACACCCAAAGTTTGCTTGCTCTTCGATTCCTTGCCTGGTATGCTGAAGAACACAATGTCAACATACGTAATGCTTATTCTAAAGGAGGGGAAAAGAGATTTGGGGATTATAGGGTAGATGGGTGGGTAGAAGAAAGGAAATTGGTGTTAGAGATTAATGGATGCTGTTGGCATGGTTGTAGAAAATGTTTCCCTTATGATGAAATAAAACTTCCCAATGGGGTTACAGCAGGGAAGCAAAGAGAAAAGGATGAAAGGCGTTTAGAATTTATTGAGAGTTTTGGGGTAAACGTGGAAGTTTATTGGGAGTGTGACATCAGGGGGATGCTTTCAAGGGATAGGGTCATGAGGCTAAGGTTTAAAAATTATTTGGACAATGGACCGATCGATATTCGATCGGCTTTCTTTGGGGGGAGAACCGGACCACTAAAACTATTCCATAAAACGGGGGAGGGGCAAAAAATTTCCTATTATGATGTGACCTCCTTGTACCCCTTCATCAATATGACAACACGCTACCCAATTGGTCACCCCGAGGTCCATATTCTAAATAACGACGTCAACTGGACTCAACCCTCTG